TCTGCTTCCCGCGGTGGATGCGAGCGACAGCGCGGGTGATCTTTCTTGTCACGAAGGTGGGGCCGCGGCGGGGGCTCTCGTGGTTGAAGAGGATGCCGTTCGTCAAGTGCATGCCGTACGCCTGTGCAGCATCCGTTCGTTAGTAGTCAAGAGGAAACCCCGCACAGAAAACAAGCACAGAGGATTAGAGCTGCGGTTTATTTAATAAATGCCGTTGCCACCACCACGTGTGAATATATCGAAAGAGCAAAGCCAAAACCGACGTCTGCTGAACATCATAGCCCCTGCATAAATCCGCCCTACCATGCATGGTGTTTGAAGGGGCATCGACACGCCCGTGAGGCAAAATTTGGCATGATCTTGTTTCGAGTAGGGTAGTATTCATGTTGGGAATGGACGAAACAACTTTATCGCTGAGAGCGCGCTGCGGGCAAAGAGAAGGGCGTATTGTGCGTTGAACGAGAGATGGAGGTAAGGATATTTGGTCACATAAGCCACGCAGTTGCGATCAGGCATAGTTTCACAGCATCTACCGGCTCTCTCCGGCTTCACTCTGGCGCATACAGCGACAGATTAGGGCAGCATGCGCGAGAACCGATCCAACACTCGAGCAGCGATGACAAAAAAATGATGCCCTTCACCTCGCGGTAGTTGATAAGCATCCAGTAGCCGAACTGCTTGGCTACGCCGTACGGGGAGCGGGGGTAAAACGGCGTCGTCTCCTTCTGGGGGATCTCCTGCACCTTACCGTACAGCTCGGAAGTCGACGCCTGCGGTGTCGCCGACAAGGTACCAAGAACGTTGGGTGCAGCGATCAGATGAGTTCGAGGCACGCGAGAAACATGGGGGGATTGACATCGGGGAGGAGAGGGTAGGTACAAATGACAGATGTGTACACGGAGCATCGACACTCCGCAGGGCCTCGACCAAAACGCAACAAGATACACGAAGGCTCGAAACCCCAGTACTGCTGTACGTGAACTTTAAACGAACAAAGTCGAAGCAAACGTTCACATTACAACATTTTCGAACGAGCAGAGCTCACAACCACCGCGTATCAAAATGCGCGAGTATGGGGCTATCGACTTGACAGCTGGGACAATTTTGGAATCCATGCATCGTTAGCTCGACAGGCAACGAACCAGGCGAATAATCGCACGCGCCATAAACTTTGAAAAATAGCCAAGGGTCTGTACACTGAAACTATCTCACAAGGTATGATGTCTACATAGGTTGTACCTGATACAGACGAGTCTTCTTCTCGAGTCCGGCCGAGCGGATGGCGTTGAGCAGGCGCAGCACGCCGACGCCGTCCGCCTCCGCCGTGTACTCCGACATCTCGAACGACACCTTCACGTGGGACATGGCCCCGAGGTTGTAGATCTCATCCGGTTGCACCTGTTAACACCACCACACAAACCAACACAGACAGTTGAGTTAAGCACCGACGCAAGCTCAAGATGCGCAAGTGGGCCCGAGGGCGGAAAAACAGAGTGTAAACGTGCAGCAGGGCAAATTACACGCGCGACACCCTAAAGCGGATACAGGGCAACATGATTCGGCAAAGTAATCGCAGCACCTACTTTGTCAAATTCGTCTCGATCGGAATCGAGTTGTTGGGAGCCATAGCATGTACTGTACCACTCAAGACTGCAACAGAGCACGGAAAAACAAGAGTCCCCATCTCAAAAAAGGTACACGACACGCTGGCCCTTGTAGACACAACAGCACAACTCTACAGAACACGGCCGTCAAAAATTTGGACTCATCAGAGCCACCGTCCGAAACAAGTAACAGCTGCGGCAATTCCGTGGGGGAGAGCCAACCTCGTAGATGATGTGCATGAGGTTGGTGGAGTCGGTGAGGTCGCCGTAGTGCAGCTTCAGGCGGACGGCGCTCTCGTGGCGATCGCGGTAGATGTGGTCGATGCGCTGGGTGTTGAAGCTCGACGATCGCCGGATGATGCCATGCACCTCGTACCCCTATAGTGTACAGCAGCACATTTTTATCATTGGTTGTTTCGGAGGATCGGTGGGAATCATGAGCGCCGATTCAGAACAGAAGGAAACGAAGCCAGCAGCAAGCAGCAACAGCATCAGGCAACCATGGGCCGACCAAGACACAAGAGGTAGAGGGGTTTCGGCCACGTGTTTCAAGCAGAGCCAGCTCGGGACACGCAACAACGGTCGCCAACCCGAAGGGAGCGAGGTCAAGCGTAAGGGAAAAACAAGTAATCCAAACAGTTGTTGATTGCAACGCAGTCTTGTCGTCGGCAAACGGTCGAGATGAATATGCGTTTCGCTGCAAACGGACGGCCACGAAACATACGTGCAAAAGCAAGCAAACGCCGCGCAGTGGCCCAGGTTGCGACGTGGGGAAGATCCACAAAACACACAGCGACCACTTTTACAGCCGTCCCTCTGGTGAGCTGGTGAGTATGCATAATACGCTGGAAAACAAACCTCGAAAGTCGTATATTGGAATGGCTAGGTGGGGAGTCCGGAGTTTGAACCTCCACTGGTGTTCCGAAATGCACGAAATCAACTGCTTTCACGGCTGCCAGTGCACTGTAGGCCACGTGCAACCCTTCTCGCTGAAAAACAACCACGGCATCCGCCATCAAGAGCGAGAAGGGATTCGAAACCGATCTTGCATCATATCTATCGTACCCCTGCGGCAAAACGGTTCAAGACCGTTGACGCTGCTATGCATATGGTTGATGAGTGGAATGACACAAAAACAAAATGGCCCGGATAAAGGGCGCATGTGTACCTTCTCGAGCAGGAATTCCGCGAGGTAGGACCCGTCCTGGCCGGTGATACCGGTGATGATGGCCTTCTTCATTGTGGCGGCCCCCTCGTCCACCTTGGGCTTCTTGTTGTCGGGCTCAGCCATCTGTGTGGAGCAAAAAGGGCACGAGATCAAACACGCCATATCGGGTGTTCCATTATATTACGTTCAAAATCATTTATTTCCCAGGACTCCAACCTCCAACCTTGGACTACTGCCCAGTGACTAGGTTAAGGTTTCTCATGCTCTTAAGAGAGATGGGAAGAAATATCATGTCGAGACGGCGATTGGGGTGTATGTGGAGAGGAAGCTACGTTGAGCAAGGCGAATGTGCCAACAATGAGCAGAGTGCTGCCCGCAGACCACGCCAACGAACGGCTGCTGCGTGGTGTGCTCAGTATGTACGCGATTCGGAACCGTATTACGCAGACGTGACGCGAGGTTGGCGGGGTACAAAAAAACAAAAAAAACACCCCGCCGTTTCATTTTTTTTTTCTTAATATGACACAACGAATCCATCTCTATCATAGAAAAGAGTCTGAGACAGATTGACAATGAATTCATTTTTTTTGGAAATATTGGTAAAATAAAAAAACACACAGAAAGACTGACGAAGAAACTGGAGAGATTTTGATACGCATAGGAAGGAGTATGCATACGTCCATGTGTGGTCATACGAGGTCGAACATGACGCGATGTGGCCTTGGGCGTGCAACGGACAAAATGTGCGGTTCTCTGCTTTGCAAGGCCTTCGAAGTCGCACTCTTTTTTTTGGTTGTGGTACTTGTATACATTGGCCGTATCGTGACGAAGCAGACTCTGAAGTGTACTGCTGTCAGTGCGTCCCAGTGATTTACCGGTGGCAGCAAAGTTGGGGTGCGGGGGGACTCCTCGGCGTATTTTAACCATGAGATGGTATTTTCTTGTAAAAAATGGTGGTTTCTCTAGAGTGTTCATAGACCCACCCATTTGGGGTAGCTAGTCTGTGACTACGGAAGGTATCCGCGTCAGTTGGACCAGTACAACGGATGTGTCACGTACACGGTACTGGGCGGGGCGATTATAAAGGCTACAATTTTCACGCTGACAACGTGCGGTAGGGATTCTCGGTTCCTCGCTGTTTCTTCGGTTTTTGAGGATGCCCAGAGGCTGCAGGTGTGTTGTTCCGAGAAAAAAATTCCTCTCCGCCTCTCATCTGATCCATCTGAGAACACAGGACATGCCCTACAACTTATCCCGCACAAACAAGGGAAGGTCTTATGTACAACCACGTGCATGGACATGGCACGCCGGTTCTCTCACGGTCCGAAGAGGATTGGAGCTACGTGTACTGCAGTGTGGGACCAACGGCAATCTGCACAATCCCAAACTTGTCGGCCTGGGTTAACACGAAGTGACGACATCGGACCAACTCTTCTTGTTGGTGTGTTCTCTGTCCACCTTGCACGATCAAACGAACACGCAACCGCTCATCGCTTGGGCCAAGGGGCGAGAACCCATCACGGCGCCTACGACGGTTGTACGGTTGCACGGTTGTACGGTTGTCGAAAGACCCCCGGCCAACGGCTGTGGCGGATTGGGCGGCGTGGTTGTGTCCGCACGTTCCCAATACTCTTCCACCCACAAACACGCACTTTGCGCCCCAGATTTCCGCCAAGATACGAACAAACAAAATTGCCCTCTTCGCGCGTTGCGCGACACACACTGAGCAAGCCCGCTGCTGTGCCCACGTCAACCAACCGACGCTATCAGCCCTCGCGCCCTACCCCTGCCCCGTCCCGACCCTTGCTAGCTTCGTAACAGCTCGTGTTCGACAACTGTTTCCGAGGGCAGACCTGACACGGAACATTCATTTGCTCCGCAGGCAACCCATTGCCACTGCCTGCGGTAGAGCCCCGCGGCGCAAATTACGACCACGTCTGCTAAATCCACTTCGCGGGTGGATCACGCCGGGTGTAGGCTCACCTTGCAAAAGGGTCCGAAGGAAGTTGTTGCGGGATTGGTGGTGTTTCGATCGATCGGGACAAGCTGCGGGCGGTGTGTGTGGCCGCGGTAAAGGCGGGGGCTCAACAACAAGGAATAATACCTGGTGGGTAATCTGACAGTCCCTTCTACATCTGCGAGCGCCCCGCTGTCACGCCGCAGATGATGTGTGCAACCCGGGAGAGAGAGACCGAGGCAAAGAGATACAGAGAGCGAGCAAGCGAGAGAGAGACAGAGAGCGACAAATCCTGACGTAATTGATAGCAGCCATGCAGGTGAGGATCTTGGCGGGGGGAATCAATAATTTGTTGCATCGGCTTTTGGTGTCCATGTGGCATGGCGCACGAACAACGTCTGCAAAATGATCTCATGTTGGCTGTGTCGTTGCACTTCATTTCGTGTTTCGTCCTATTTTTTAGTGTTTGTTGGTGCGTCCGTACACAATGCAGCGCACGACGCAACTATCATAGCCTATTAGTGTTCCATAACACGCCTTGCTCTTCTGCTAGAAGCCCCAGCCGAAATAATTCCACACCGGACCTTCATCGCCAGCGGTGTGCAGCAGTGTTTTACGAAGGCAGCTCTCGTCGCTACGTGCGGCAGCTGAGTTTGAACAGCAGGCTTTGGAACGGCGCCAGTGGTCAAGCCTGTGTGGCAATTTCACCCTCTTCGTTCTGTCAGCTTGAAGTCTCTCTGCTCCTATCGGAACAGAGCTAGCTAGAAGTCGGTTGGGAGTTTGCGACAGGGGTCTTCAGCCGAGCAGGCCTCATGCATACAACAAATGTTTGTCCGCCGGCGGTTGTGGTGTGTGTGCAGCATGTGACGGAATCGCGGAAAACTCGTGTGTGTTTCGTCCTATCTTCGTGCGAAGTTACCGAAGTATCACGGTGCCACCTTTCGGCATCACGTTTAGATATAGATTTGACGTACCTATGATTTGTCTCTGTCCCCTTGTTTTCGTTTGATTTTTCAAGGCGTGTCCAACCCGTTTGGGGGTAGTGCTGTACGGTAGTTGGCCTCCGGGGTCCTAAGGCGTTAGCACGAGGTGGTACAAATACGGGTGTCCAAGGGTACCGCGAGGATGCGAAGATTGGCACTGGGGTATCAGCGCGTGGTTGCGCCACGACCAGGAGGGCACCAATGAACGAAAAGTGTTATTTTTTCGAGATCTCGTCGAGAGTGTTCCCGAGACGTACCGGTTGGTGTTGGCCACCCAACCCTACTGGTCGTGGAGCGATCAAGCTCCCAAGAAACGCTGATCCCGCTGTACGAACCTTCGCGTCCTTACGGGTACTGAGCAGAGACCGAAAACGATTTTCAATGTGCGTGCAATAATACCAGTCTGAGACATTGGAAGAACGTCTAACACACACCCACGTCGTTCTGCAGCTTGTCGTTGACCAAGACTCTCTTTTTTCCCTCGTCGCTTCGATACCCTCTCTTGATTGTGCGTGCTTGACCTCTCGAAAACGGTGGCGGGACACGGTGGGGACTAGATCTGGATCAAGACGTTGACTGGACGCAAGGTGGGAGAGATGGAGAATAAGAGAGAGGGGAGCGAGCGGGCGGTAGACTGAACGTCGACAGAGTCAAGCATACTGGTGGTTCACTTGACTCGAGAACGGCGGGGGGGAGAAGGAGCGCGCGAAACATGACCTCGCACTGAAAAGGCCGTTCCGATAATGAACAGATCGTGTTGGACAGCACCAGCCTGAGATTTGTTAGTTGGCATGCTCCTCTCGCGTCCATTGTAAGCGTCTTAGGCTCCGAGATACATATCCAGAAACAACGGCGTGCAGCTGGCATCACTCGCGAAGTTTGCGCTCGCTGTCGGCCTCGCATCGTGTTTTTTGTTTTTTGGTGCTGTCGCGTTGGCGTCGCTTTGACGCACTTCATCAAGTGTGTATTATGTGCAAGAGAGTGCCGTTGCTTCCACATCCTCTTCGATTTCGCTCGTGTATGAACCGCGGTTAAGTCCCTCCGAGATGAACGTCGCACTAACTTGTCAAAGCCACGTGCACGTTGCTGTCTTCAAGTCGAGTTGCCGTGTTCGCGAGCAGCCGAAGCAACTTCTTTGGGGATGTCGGTCGATGGCAGTTGGCTGGTAGTTTGTCTCAAGGTTTATGAGAACTAGGCCTCTGCAGAGACGCGGAGCTTTCATCGTCGGCAGACATTTCTGCGCGACCTTTGCCTTCACGATCCTTCCCCCCGTCCCTTGCTCCCTTCCCGTCATGTGTCGATAATTTGTAGCAACAATACAGCTTCGAGCCGGACAACCAAGTGAGCATGGTCAAGCAGTCCTTGCAAGAGAAGGAAGGGATCCAGGTGGGCAGACGAACGAGGGGGAGGAAGAGCGAGTGGTATCGCCATAGCCGTTGTTGCGTTCTTACTTGGCCCCCTTGGAGACACACCGCTATGATAAAAAAAAATATGGGATTCCGGGTTAACACGGGTTTTGACGCGGAGGTCCGTGTTGTGGATCATCCCGTCTGTGGTGCTAGAGTACCTTTGGCATGCCATGGCCTCGGAGTTCCTAATCGCCACACGGGAAACGGTTCCAGTCCGGGTGATTTTACAACGGTTTCAACCCCTTGCAGCTAGCGCAAGGGGGTATCGCACCTCTGACGCAAAGGTTCGGTTGGTGGGAGATTGGTCGGCCCGGATCACATCCTTAGGTGTGACGTGTTCTGGTCTCAGCCAGCACGTTAGATGTCACGATTTCCGCCATCAAAACCAACTCCATCGCTCCACTGATGACAACAATGCGCCATTGCGGTGATTGTTGAGTGTCGAAAAGGTACGAAGGGAATCCCTTGCATGAGTGAAAATACAGATCAGAATTCGTGTGCGCGGTGATGCGATGTACCTCATTGTCTGAGTCGCGCACGCGAAATGATTGATGTTGTGGCGGCAAATGATGTATATATGATTTCTCGCTGTCGAACAAAGCCATGGTAGTGCGTCATGCCATGCCCGAACGCCTTCCTCTTGTCATGGCTCTTTCGCGCGCAGGTGGACCAGATCCGATTGATCTACAGCGGGAAGCAACTTGCAGACGACCACACATTGTCCCACTACAACGTCGCCCCGGGAGGAACCATTCACATGGTGTTGCAGTTGCGCGGAGGCTCGCGGTAGGGGGCTATTGTAGCTTAGGCTTTCGAGAACTGACGTGCAGCCTGGGAAGGACGCGGAATGTCACATCAAGCGGTTGCTCGGCCTCCCTCTTTGAAAGAGGCTTGTTGCTCAGGGGTACGTTGCACCAGTATGAGCAGGGGCAAGTGGGGTGCACGCTGGGGCTGGGGTGCGCCTTTTATTTCGTTTTCCTTGGACGACCGCCGTTGCATTTTTGCCGCTTGGGCACGCAGTTGTGGAGGGAAGCAGTACGCGAGCCTTATGGCGCCGAACAGTTGTGAGTGGTGTGGTCAGGTTGGGCAGTATTTGTGGAGGGTTTGGAGGCGAGAATCTACACAACCCGTCCAAAGGCTGACATGATTATTTTCCCTCCAACCTCCCCTATCCCCTCGCACTGATGCATTTTGGTTTTGGAAGCGCGAGCTGCGCCATAGTGGATGAAGGTTGTATCGGCGTGTGTGTTATTTGCCCGTTTGCCAGAGTCTTGAAGCGCTGTTTGGCTGGTCGTCTCGTTGGTGTGTACATTGGAGGCTGGACACGTTGGTCTTTGTTGCTTGGGGCGCGACAATACTCAGAATAAGCCAGGACAGAACTGTTACCTTCGATTCGATGGGAGGCTGGACGTTATGGACATATGGCTGACGCAATCTTTCTTGAGTTTTGTATGAACTGCAGGGTGGCATCCTCCATCGACTTTTTTCGCGATTTTTGTGGGGTTGACTATTTCGCGATCGATCGGGATGCGGAAATTGAAGGATGTGTGGGTCCGCTGCAGGCTTGCGAATGCAATGGCGATTGATTCCGACCGGCAGACTACTGACGCCCCCCCAGGGCTTTGGTATGGCTGCAAGTATCAGTCGTGGCTTTCGACATGCAGTACAATGACACGGCAGCAGCAGGTAGCAGCGTGATTCTCGAGATGACATCTGATTCCTCGTCTCCTGCTGTGGCACTGAAAACGCAGCATTATGTGTTTGATATTCATATGTGTAGTTCATTGTGTGTGAAGGTACGGTATGAGCGTTCTCTCGTTACAAATATTCTTGACCCTCGTGTGTACTGCGTGGGGGAAAGGGAAGGCATCTTTGACACCGAGGCAACACCCTCGTGAGACTACAACATCAGTAAGGACTGACTTACTGCTGTCCCACCCACGATATTATGGGACAACTGCTTAAGAAGGCTTTTTTTGGTCAGATGAGCTGAGCATTGTACCGGGCGCACGGCGTACTGGTGTCATATGCACCCTAACTATGCTGAGAGCAGAGTTCACGAAATTTGTGCAAAGCGGTGGTGATGAGTTTCTGTCTCATCCAAGATTGGGGAAACAACCAACTAATATTTATTTTCTTCCCCATCAAAATACAGCAACACCACCAACATCGGACGTTGTTATCTTTATTTCCGTCACGTCTTCGTCCTTCATTCTCTGCATGTCGATAGTTCACTCGCCAGTTCCTGTACACGCTTCATGAGGATTTTGCGAATACTTCACTGCTGCTGTGAACGTACATTTTCTGGCACGTTTCATTTTCCAGGCTTGCCTTCTCATATTTTTTTTCTTTGAAACGGTCTGGAGAACGGTCCGTCCAATCAATTTTTGCGACTATTTCACCTGCTCGGCTCTGTTGCTCTGTTGTTGATTCTCGCCGCCCGTCTACGGTACACCTCATCATCTTACATTCCCCCACACACCCACACGACACTACTGCTGAAACACCGTCACAAATAATGGGCCCGAAGAAGCCAGAAGAAGGACAGCCGAACGCCGACGCCCCGCCAGCCGGTGTGGTTGGCGGCGCAGCACTCGTTGGGGCAACGACTGGTCTGTTGTTGTCAGGCCCTCTCGTCGCTATCGGGCTAGGCGCTGGAGCCGCAGCGTGCTGCCTAAGGAGAGACCAGGTATGGTGACAGTAGCTGACGGGAGGTCACTGCTGGATGTACATGCAGCGCGTGGGGCTCATGTGTGACTTGTGCTGTATCGGTGGTTTGTTTGTCAAAACTCGCATGGAAGTTCCGAGTTGGCGGCAATGCGGCTGATTGACCGAACTTCAACTCTGAGTGAAAGACTTGTCGACTTGTCTATACAGTGTAGGACATATGCGTAAGGTGCGTTGAGGGTCCGTGTTGTCTGTGTTGTGTAGAGTGTAGACGACTCTTGGCGTCCAGGTACAGCAGTAGCTCAATACGGTTAGCATTCTACGGCAAACATCAGGTAGCACTTGTTGAACGTAACTTGGTGCTTTGATTTCGGGTAGGCAGATTTGACAAACGCAGGAATGGTGAGGTTAAGTCTACATCTGTATTCTTGTATGTAGTCGGCCGGAAACGAAGAAACGAGACCTGCTGTCTTCCGCGTATTAGGAAAAATAAGTACACACACAGAAAGACTACCCGTATTGCTGCCGATAAAAAAAGAACTCCGGCGTAGCCTCGTAACGGGACCAGGCGAGATCAAGTTCTTCAGAGGTCCCTCGTGTTTGTAGGTGGCTCCTAAGATGCAAGATGACCGCTCTTTTTTGCCCTGCTTGCTTGGATGCTGGACTTGTCACCGAATTTCGTTTACTTTCCGGCATGTATGCATAATAAGGACTACAATGGTTCGGGAGAGGTGGTGTTGGAATAGTGGCGGGCAAGTTTTGTTAAATAGTGAAGACAACAACAACGCCTCTCTTATATATCTCTCCGTTTGTTTTTATCAGGCTGGGGATGTGGCCAGGTCAACTGGCCAGGCCGGGCTAGCTGTGGTCGAGAAAGGAAAGGAGATCAACACGCAATACGGCGTCGCCGACAAGGTACCATTAGAATGGACGAAGATTGCTGTGTGCTACAGCAGTTTTTCTCATGTACGACAGTGGAGTGTTACGGATGGATGTAAACCTCGAAGAGTTAGTGTGACGATCCCGTCGCGAACACTACAGGGCGCATGTCCGTTTGAGCTTCTTAGTGTCTGGTGGATTCAACTCAACTGTAGAATCTTCGGAAACCGATCATTTCGTGATACAATTAAAGTTCCCGCGTTGATTGCTCGCTCCTCGCTACAAACTTCCTTCAAACACAGGTGAAGGGCGCCGCGCACAGCACGTTCGAGAGAGCGAAGGAGGTAAACGAAGAGCACAAAGTTGTGGACAAGGCAAAGGCCGGGGTATCGCGAGCATGGGCAAGAATCAGGGAGGTGAGCGAACGGCGTAAGGCCCTGGTCCTACAAATTCTTGTTGCGACGTGGCACTCTCCGCGACGCTTCGCGCCGGCTGTTGCCATGATCGCTGGGGCTTCGTCCAGACGCTACGTGTCCCGAGTTCGACGTGTCCGAATGCGAGCTCTGGACGCGTACACATTGCCAATCCCGGGTCTCGATCTTGAGTGCCGTGCGCAACCATGATCACCAGGCTGGCTTTCGTTTTGCATGTGGCCCCTCGAGGGCCGTACTGGCGTGAATCTCAGGGTTATACCACCCACGAGCAGACTTTCATTCACGGATTGAAACCGGGTCCAACGTTTGAGAAAGTTTGTCGAGCGCGCCACAGCTCGTGAAACCTTTAGTCCAAAATTCCGACCATCAGCACAAGATGGGCGGCAAGACTCCTGCGGTGATTCGTTTTTTGCAAAGGTTGAGCAAGCTCCACAACAGCTTGCAAAACAGGCCCCGGTGCAGATGCCCTTAAAGAGTCCCGTTGTAGCGTGCTTTTTGGTCTGGGGCTGGGACCCAAACAACGTCTATAGGCAACGCCCGTTGATGCTGGTGGACTGCCGGTCTGCGCACCAAACTCTGACAAAAGGGGCCGTAGAGGGCACGGCATTTGCCACAGATGGCCGCCGTTCTCTCGGTTTTAACAGGTTCCGCTCAAACAACCAATTCTACAGCAGTTTGCTGGACATTGATTTGCACGAGGGTTGTCATGTGTGGGAGGTTGTAGGGAGCGAACATAGCTACTGAAGTCGCGAGGCATCAGCGGGTCCGTTGGTTATCGTGTCAACTCTTCGCCATGTTTTGATGTGCGTTGAACCCTTACGAACTATCTCAATTCTCCTGAACCCGGGGAGGCGCAAGCGACGTGTTTCCCAACCGACATCATTCGTGTGTCTTGCCTTTGCGGGCGGTGAGACCAACACCCTCGTCAGCATCGTTGAGAATCGTTATTTCAACAAAATGGTTCGAAACCACAACTATCCCCCGCCTTAGACCTTGTCCCACCGCTGCCCCACACGTCGCACGGTTCCCGTTGTTGTCTCGTCAGGTTGACAGAGAACACCGCCTCGCCTCCAGGGCAGGCGAGGCTTTCGGGGGAGCGATGGACAGCGTCACCAATGCCGTCTCGAAGAAGGATGATGGGCAAGATGGCTGGGGGGCCACGAAGAAGTAGAAGGGCTGTGCCCCTCTCGCCGCACATGGCTTTCGCGTGTCCGGGGGGGTTGATTTGAAGGTGTGCGTGAAAGTGCGTGTTCGCCCCCGGAAGCAATGACAGCGTGTGGTCGTGTTGGGAAGAGATCGTGGAAGAGGAAGAGTTGGTTGTGTTGACGTCTGTATTAATAGTTCTCCTCGGTGGCGACCCGGTGACGTAGAGAGGTTTAACCTCACCTCGTTCTTTGTCGAAGAAAAGGTCTTTCCTGGAGTAACGCTGTGGTTGAAAGCTAGGGTCGCGAGCGTCGCATGTGCGACGTCGTTTGTGGTTTACGTTTGTGTCTTGGGGGTTGGTTCAAGTATATATAGGCATTGAAGAAAGTAAGCATCTCCTCGTAACCGTATGGACCCGGATGTGTAAATATGGGTCTGTAAGAGAGTAGTAACGAAGGAGTTCAGCGAATGCCGGAAGCCTACTTATTGGTGAGGGCAGCTGTAGCAATCTATCACCCACTCGAGCATCGCATCCGGAAACATTTTGTGTCCATGCGATATTGTGGTGATGCTGTTGTTGGGTCACATAGAAAGAAGGCTTGTAATGGGAATCAATCGTCTTTGACAAACGTGTGTTGTTTCATGCGGCGCATCTCGCGCCGCGATCTGGCACTAGACTACGTACGACTGCAAGTACCGAAACGTCGCCCAACCGCTAATTAATTTGAATGGGAGCTGCCGCCGCCCTGGCATAGCTAACGCCCCGTGTGTGACCCCGGTTGTCCGCTCTTTAAACTGGCTGCGCGTCTCGATCTTGTCTCCGGCCCCAAAAAGCGGTCGGGGGTTGAATGCATGCATATGTATACGCGTGCTGCCTAGGATTGAATCTACAACAGTTGGAGTGTTACAGTTTTCGCAATTTGATGGGCATCCCGGTACTTACAGTAACCAATTGCGGTCGGCGGCCTGGGGCCGGCGTACGCATGTTTTGAATGCCTTAGCGTGATCAGTGGGTCGGCGGCGGGGGGAGATTCTGTTGCGAGCATTTCATTTAGCGCAACATGTACATAGGCCCAATAGGCCACGAGCTACCGCTCGTACGACAGAGTACTGCATTTAGCAAAATCAAGTGCAAGGTCCGCATGGACCACGAAAGCGCGCCGTTGTACAACCAAATGGGCCAATCAGAAAACTGCGGGTACCTTTTATCTCTCTCGGTAGTTTTCACTCGCTGTGATGTTGCACACAAGCCCCCCCCTCCGCCACTGCGAGCCCATCATCAGCCTTCAAGTCCGACCACCGCCACCCACTGCCGCACACACAAAAAACCAGCTAAAACGCCACTTAGGAGAAGTGGATAACAAAAGATGAGTTATTTTGTGGAGATTTTACAAGTACGTTGACGGCGGCGAATCCACGGCCGCACGATACGTCGGCAATGCTTCCGCCAGGACCAGGCCTTTGCCTTGTATGTACCATGTGTATGTGCACGCGGATGCACGGCCCCGCAGCTCACTCGGACAAGACCATTTTTATGTGTGTTGCAGGATTCATGCCCCCTTACCAATTGACGACGCCAAAAAGCTGCGTCCCTTCATGTTTTTTTTTTTTCGCAACCGCCGAATCTCGAACACAGCAGCACACAGCACACACATCGGACATCCCGAGACACACCGCGATGGCGTCAACTCCTTCACAGCCGGGCAACAGCCCTGGCGCTCCGGAGCAAGGCACCCCGAGCTCTGGCGGTTCGAAAGGAATCATCTCGAGCGTATCGCGGGCTGCTTCGAGCGTGGCCTTGCGTGGCAGAAGCGCCACGCTGAACGCCTTGCACATTGGGAGAGGGCAAAACGTGAGTTTTTTTTTTTGCTGTTCGAAAGGTTGGCCGGCAGTTTCGACAGCGCCCGTAGCACACTGCTGTGTCGTCTCGCTGCTGCGTTTTGCTCTATGGTGTGTTGTTTACGTTGCCCTAACACAGCAGCAGCACCGACGAGTTCAAAGATGTGGAAAGAGACGGCGAGTAAGACGTGGTAGACCGCGAAAGATTACCTCGTGGGCGTTCCGCCGACGGCTAGTGTACAGCAAGAAGCAGCAGCGGCACATGTTGTAGTGCAGCGAGCATCATGAAGCAGCATCCCGCACCAGCGGGTGCTACCCGCCACTGCTCGCTAGCTCGCTGCTGCTCAGCCCAGGCCAATGGCCAGCATGTCAGCAAAGGTGTTTTCTTTCTTGCCGAGCTGTTCACGGTGGAGTATAGTGGAGTATTGCACGCAATCCCTTCCAGTAACAACATTTCAAAACACAAGACACAGACACAAGGAGCGGATATGTTATACCGCTCGCAGCTCCCCGCTTGAGAGAGTTGTGTGATTTCAGTATCCCGGTATTAGCCCCTGCCCTCGAACCGTCGTACTGCGTTGTATGCTGAAGCTGTGTGCAAAAGGGACCCCGACCAAGGAAATTAAGGGTTGTGACCATATAATGGCATCAAAGCAAGAGTCCCGAGTTGGACTGTTCGTTTGTGTATGCAACAATGAAGCGTGCAGCAGCCGATTCGGAAGAACCCTCCATGACAGCGACGCCGACCCATAACACCGGCACGAGCGGTATCTAGAAAGCCCCACATGCACCTCTTCGTGTTCGCCGGTTCAAATAGCAACGGAGTACACATTTCCTTTGCCTCGTAGACTACTACATACTACAATTCTTGCACACCACTTCTTTCACGTCAATTTTCCGAGAAGTTTGCACGTCAAGTCTTGTGAAAATTTGCACCGATGCATCTCGCCGCATCTCGCCGAACGCCGCACATACGCACATAATTTAACCCAGGGTCCAGGCTCAGCACGTCAATTGTCAGCCGCAATAGCCACTTGCTTCCCATAAAAACATCGCGGACGAAGAGCAATGCGCTCGAAATCGCCCATCTGCAAACCGTTCACGTATTTTTCGTGTTTCATGAACGGCGAAGTATGTGCGGGAATTGGGAAGTCACATATGCTCTGGCCAAGAGTGTCCAGGGTCTCAGCGAAAGAACCACCTCAACGCAGCCCGGGTTTAGAACCCACGACCAACTTTGTAGAAGCCGGAATCAAACCAGGCTAGTTACCAGAATCTTTAAGGCCACGGCTCCGTCCGCCTCCACGATGTTCACTCTTGTATTTGGGACATGATCAGCACCCGTGTTGAGAACCACCTCGCAGCCATACTATTATACAGTGAGGGGCCCTCTATAGTGCGTTTCTTTTTTTTTTTCTCCCATCATTGGACTCTGTCGTCTGCCGCTCTGGCCCCCATCCTCCACTTGTACTAGCTATGCGACCCAACCGGGGTCACATAGGAGGGGGGGGTTGGACCCCCTCCTGCGATTCCTGCCTGAGATATTTTTATCGCGAGAAGGGTACAGCAATCCCTTCCCTCGCGACGTATGAAGTCGATCTAGTTTACTAACAACGAGCGGGTATGTGCCAAGCGATTTCACCCGCACTATAGCCGGCTGCCGCACTGTAGCGGGCACCCGAACTATTCAATGCATTAACCGTCTTGAATATTCCATCTGTGCCAAGCGATTTCACCCGCACTGTAGCGGGCAGCCGCACTATGTATCCCGCACTATAGAGGGCCCCCCACTGTATTTGCAACGGAGATGTTCATGCGCACGCCCGGGGGGCGAACCAGAAGATACTTAATTGTATCGGGGCGGCCAGTGCGGACAGAGCGTTCCCTTCCTCGATGCCCCGATCTCGATGCATGCAGTGCAATACAACAGTGTAGTTTCAAGAGAGAGAGGTAAGGATGGGTAGTGTAGTTTCAAGAGAGAGAGGTAAGGATTGGTAGCGTAGTTTCAAGAGAGAGAGGTAAGGATGGGTAGTGTAGTTTCCAGAGAGAGAGGTAAGGATGGGTAGTGTAGTTTCAAGAGAGAGGTAAGGATGGGTAGTGTAGTTTCAAGAGAGAGGTAAGGATGGGTAGTGTAGTTTCAAGAGAGAGGTAAGGATGGGTAGTGTAGTTTCAAGAGAGGTAAGGATGGGTAGTGTAGTTTCAAGAGAGAGGTAAGGATGGGTAGTGTAGTTTCAAGAGAGAGGTAAGGATGGGTAGTGTAGTTTCAAGAGAGAGGTAAGGATGGGTAGTGTAGTTTCAAGAGAGAGAGGTAAGGATGGGTAGTGTAGTTTCAAGAGAGAGGTAAGGATGGGTAGTGTAGTTTCAAGAGAGAGAGGTAAGGATGGGTAGGCACCCTGCCATGCACCCTGCCATATGTACATGCCGCGGCACCGTCGATTGCGCCGCCCTCCCGTAAAAAAAAAAACGCCTTTCGTTTCGCCTCTCGACCCGTACCATTTGCCCTCCCGTACAAAAATCCGTCTTGCATCCCGCCTCTCAACCGTTCGGTGTGTTCCATATTTCCCTCTTGTTGAACAACGCCCAAAACCACCGCAGCGCACCGAGTCTTCTGCGTCTCCCTTGCCTCCCGGCAACGTCAAAGGCGAGACGGCTTCCGGCCACCATCCCTTCGGGAGTCTCTCGGGAATTTCCTCGACCGCGACCTCGGCGCTCAGGGGTCTCGCCTCCGGGGTACATCTAGGCGCAGGGGGGAATGGCGCCGGCGGCGTGGGCGGCAGCGGGAGCACTACCAACTCTGAGGTTGGCCTTGGGTCTGGGAGGCTGTCGCATGAGCTGCCGAGCATTCGGAAAGGTGAAAGAAAAATGGACAGGCGGGGGGAGGGGTCAAATCTGTTCTCGAAACAAATATGGGTGCTGACGGAGTCGGTTAAGGAGTTGGTCAGCGTTCTGGTGTTTTGGTTTGTTTGCTGCCGTCTGGCGGGCGATGTGTCGCACACCGTGTTCCCGGCAGGTACTGGAGGCCGTTCGCTATACCAGTAAAAACTTACGGTATTAGACAACGCATCAAGCCTATGATTTGCTGGTGTACACAAACGGTCAAGCAGATGACTACCAGATCGAACGACCGTCCACAGCTCACTCCCGGCTCTCGTCTTTGCTCTCGCGTACTGTTGCCTGCATACACCCGATCCCTCCCCGTCTACATGCCGCTCCAGGATACCTGCTCATGCTCACAAAGCCTGGTCAAACCTGGAGCGGTACCGCAGGAGGAGGAGGAGGTGTAGGCGTAGAGGCTGGCAGTGGGGAGTGGTCAGAGCGGTTCTTTTACCTGTTGGGACATTTCCTCAGATACAAGAAGCAATCTCGCAACCTTACATCGGTCAACCTCAAGCAGGTGAGAAGGGCACAGGGGGGGGCGTACTCTTATGTTTTGCATGCCTTAGCGGTTAGACCTTTTGACCACGCGTCCTCGAGAGGACACAGCATTGTTCCCACAGAACCGATTACCGATGGCCAATTGTTCCTTCAGGGGGGGGGGCGCTGTTTGATTGTGCATCCTTGTGTTTGTGGCTGATTTCCGAACTTGGGTAGGGAGCCTCAAACACAAACAAGAATGAGTCTGAACCTTGTAGCGTATTCTCACCGACTTGCCAAAATCTTTGTCGGGCCTGTCCCCTGCGCACAACATTTGTGGGGGTGCCACGCCCCTTTTGGAGGACTGTATTGCTTTTCATAGCCGACTTAGCATTAGGTAAGGCGATTTTCCGTGACTGCTCCGGTGGTGTCTTCGCGCGAGGCTATTTCGTAAGCTGCTTGCCATTATGCAGCCTGTGAACCTTTTCCTGCTGTGTCGAAAATTGAAAATTGGAATTCGACGCCATTCGCCCGATACGCAACCGCATGATTGCTTCGGTTTCATTGCCTGCCGATTTCTCTCCCTCCGTGGTTACGCCGCCCGGCGACACACCGCTTGCACATGCCGCTGTGCATATCGTCAGACTGACCACGTCGAGTTCAACCTCCAGTCCGCCATCGTGGAAACCTTGGAGGACGCCCAGGAGCGAGAAGGGGTAGAGGGGGCGTCTGTCAGCTCTCATCCCCGACGGAAGCACGCCTTCCGGCTCGTGCCGACACCCGCATCGGAGGAAAAGCCCTCTCCAGCTTCGCCCACTGCTCTGTCCACGACGTCCTTCGGCGAAGCTAGGACCTCGAGGTCCAGCACGACTCCGTGCGAGGCTGCCTTGGCGAAGGATGCGGCGGAGGCGGAGGAGCGAAACTCTCGTGGTTCTTGGTCGCAGGCTAGCGCCTGCAACGGTGGCGGCAAGCCGCCGCAGCAGGTGTGGGTCCTGGCCGCGACAAGCGAAAAGGTGAGCGAGGCGGAACGGGCGCTAGTAGTCCCACACCCGAGGACTGACGGAATAGGCTCGAGTGGTCCAACACAAACGTCTTTTTTTCCGAAGGAGCGAGAGAGGTAAAGAGGGAGACAAACACAGAGAGGGAGAGAGAGAAGCACAAAATATCCCATGTGCCATCCAAGAAAAATATTCGTACGCCAAAAAGATAACGTCATACGACGGGGCCCCAAATCTCCGTAGATCAGCTACACACTCCACGTATCGGATATGTATTACATAGCTGTCCTGAGCGAGCACCGACGTCCATCAACAAGCTCGTGCGGTCATACCGTCATGCTGCCTTCGATCGCAGGAGCGAGCCATGTGGATGCAGGCCATTCGGGAGGCTATATCTTTGGGTCGGGAGTTGCTCTCCTGTGGGGAGGCGGGGTGTGAACCGGTGAGATCATTGTCGACTCGTCAGCACACACCACACACCTGTGTCCGATACTGATACTGTACTGCTGCGTCCGAAGGTTAAGGACCGGTGGCCCTCTTGCCTCGTGTTGGGAGGAGGGACTTTTAGTACAACAACAGGAGTGAACGAACGTCGCAATCTACATCCCTATTGACGTTAAAGACTTGAAAGGTAGCCTATGATGTGGGTGGCTTATTTTTTGTCTCGTTAAACTTCTTATTGTCTGGGTTTCCTCTATGGCGCACTGCGTCTGTATTGTCCTCTGGTTGCTTGGACGTTTGAAGTTGCCTCTGAAGGTGTCGCCGTTTTAGTTAGCCCCAGCTTGCCGGCCACCATGCCCTGCTTGTCTTCGATACTATTTACTACCGCTGTGTTGTTGCACGTGGCCGCTGCTGAACATGTTTTCCTTCGTTCCTGCGGCCTGCTTGCCTACCGCCGCCGATGCTACTCCTCCTGCTGCTCCTGCTGCTGCTGCCACTACGACCGCGTTCGCTATTGCGATTGTTATCATTGACAAGGGACCTCTGTTCGCCTTGGCGAGAAGGATGAGCGAAGAGCTGGAAGTACGCGATCGACATCACCGGCTTCGCTTTTATCGCTCCTGCTTCTTAGGTAAAGCTTTGACATCTCACGCGTGTGTGTCGGGCTTGTGGTGGTCACGGTGCATCGCGGTGCAAGTGAACTTTTCTTGGCCAAATTTTTGTTGTGCGAGATTCGATCAGGGTGTTTTTTTCCCGCATCGGCCATCTAGTATTTGAACCCCCGTTCCGACGCAAGATATTTTTTATTCACACTATGCGGAATCGAAATACGGACGTTGTACCGAATGTACAGACGTATCTACTTGTTTGTACGACTGAAGAGGTTTCCATGCCAGCGAGGCACCTGAGCAGCGAGAGGGCTGTTTTCGTGGTGCTTGTGTTCAGGCCGTGGGCGACGTTGTCGCTACTGCAAGCCTCATTCATTTATGGAGATGCGGTTCGTGGGTGCCGTGCCGTCTGGGTGTGTCCCTTTGGTGCTCGAGGAGGCCTACGCCTAGGTGTCGATCGCTAGATGCATTGTGGACTACCAAAAAGGAGGCGAGGAACAAGAGTATCTTTGTTTGTCGCGCGACACGGTTTGTTGTTCTTGCGACAATATGGCACATGCATCGCGCGTCTGTCTTCCTTGCTGTTACCAGGCGAAGATGCGGTCTCTTGGTTGCAATCGGAGTGCGGCCCCTGTTCCGTCGAGGAGGCGTTATGGCGAGGAAACAAGATGGTCGCAGCGGGGCTGATCTACCACTGCACCTACGGGCATAGCCTTGAGAACAGCCGTCTTTTTTACAAGTGAGCGGCAACGAGATAGGGCATCAGGTGGAATTGTGCTTTGTGGTTGGATTTGACCGTGACGTCACTGCTGGCAGGAAGACGACAGTTTCGTGCACGAACTAGTGTTTAGCTGAGTAGAGGCGCGCGAGAAGAAACCATTCCAACCGTCCCTTAGCACCTTGTACATAACTTGTACATAACGTGTAATTATGGCAATCTTTTTCGGCTATGGCAGAGGACGGGCACACGTGTAGCAATGCTATTGTATTGAAAAGGAATTGCTAAATAATAGTCTAAATCGCCAGACACACATCGCTCCAGCTGATCGTGGACCCCCCCCCCCGCCCATGTACTCCAACACGCCGGTGCAAACGAAGGTTTGCCAATTCCGTAGTTTCGGCGTCAGGCGGCTCCAGGGTATCACTCTCCCGTCAAACATCGGGAGAGAGAATCGGCGCCAAAGGCAGCCGCTTCGGCGCCAAGGGCGTCGGCTCCGGGGGGGGGCTCACAGATGGCAATCGCCCCTACCGGAGCACGAACGATCTTACCGGCATCGTGAGCAGAAGCAGCGGCGAGCACAACTATGACCACCACCGGTATTTCGGGGGGGCAGGAGAGCGGGGCAGCAACGGGGAAGGCGGAGGGAGTTCCGACGCGTCGTCGGAAGATAGCGGCAGCGTCGTTTCGGTCGACAACAGCGGGTCGGCCGTCTGCCGCGGCGAAGCAGGCCCCTCATCCGCGATGGAAGGCGAAGGGAGAGGCGTAGGGTCGGGCGTGGTGTCGTTGTCGAAGAGCGTCGTGGCGGCGACCGCTGCCGCTGCGTCTTCGGACGGACGGAGCGGTTTCCGAGAAAGTTCTGGCGGTCACGCCGGCGAGAAGAAGGCCACAACGAGGAGGATTGCCAGGTGAGGACCGAACGTCAATGGCGGCGCTGTAAGGCGGTTGGGGGGCTCTGTGTGCGTTAGTTGCTTGTCCGGTCGCACTGTCTGCTACCGTGCTCTGGAGGCTTGCGCCAGCGGCTTTTTTTCTCTCTTTTATGCCTGTTTATTTCTCTCTCTCGCTTCCTTGTCTCTGTATTTGGCTGCGTGTCTGCGTCCATATCCCCCTCGTTGTTGCCTCTGTCTGCCTATCTTGCGCTTGCTAGAATCGTCTGGTTTTTTTTTTGTTTCCAGATGAGTGCCTTGCTCAATGTCCGTATCGGGAGGGAGGGAAGGAAGAGAAAGAAAGAGGGGATGATTGATGTGAAGTTGTATTTCGTCAGCTCAAAATCCGGTCGATTGCTCTCTGAAGCTGCCGCTCGGCAGACGTTTTGCTCCGTTTTGAATCCGGTAATCGTCTCCGTGCTTTGTCCAAGCCATGGAATGTCGTGTGCGAAGCCAAGCGGGCGAATATCTTGCCCTCTGTTCCACCGTCATGACGTCACGTCGGCCCTCGCACGGCGACGTTTCGTCGGGAAAACGAAAACGCCTCTGCACCACCACCACCAAATAATGAAAAAACGCTCCGCTCCTCTCCGTGCTGTGGCAAAATATGTATCTGGGGGGTGCGAAACAGCCCGATCTATGAAATTTGTTGGCGGTGCAACGTGCGCCGCAACCTGTACGGGGTGACGTGGAGCAATTTTCGGCCCTTTTGACGTTCTACCCGGGTGTCACCCACTCTCACCCCCCCCTTCTCCATGAGTGCTGTTCTCGCACACCGAAACATTTTCCCCGCGTTTTGGTGGCAGGGAGTTGGAGGAACTGAAGCTCGCCTGCGCCGAGATGGAGCGGTCGCAAATGCGGACGGAGCGACAGATGCAGGCCTTCGCAACCGGGTGAGCATCCTGGGTGATCATGTCGGTGGACTAGTGTACCATAGCCGCCTCGCTTGTGGTGGCTGTGCCGGCCCGCGTGTGTGCTCTTCCGTGCCGTGGTTTTCTCAAACTCGAGCGGTTTCATGTATTGAGGACATGTGTGTCCGGAATGGTCGAGAATGTGCCGCGCATCGGTGATCGTTTTGTTTCGTTGTCGGTGTCCACCAGTGCTACAGTGCTATCGTACGTGGCCGGCGTTGGGAGGGAGGAACGTCCTATCTCGATCGATGTGTTTCCCTTGTCGCATCACAGGGCACGATTCGATCAAGAAGCACATGCGGCCAAAAACTCCCCTCCGGTGTTGTGTTTGTCCAATCGCATCGCGGAGCTTTTTTTGTGGTATGAAGAATGCCAAAAGCAGGCAATCAAGTTTTGGTCGCTTTGATTATGTTGCTGCAGAAGGTGTAACGTCGTGAATGCTTGGCACTAACGACTGCTGCAATTGTGGATTCTTTCGAGTTCACCATAAATCGCGCTCCCCGATCCTCCGTGAACACGTGTGTGTGTGTGTGTGTGTTTTTTTTTCGACGACCGCGCTAACCGGCTGACAAATGAAATGACGTCAATCTCAGTCTCAAAACGTGTGTGTGACAGATTGCTGGCTTGCGTGGAGACCTCGATGGACGGAGCCCTCGCCTCAACGGCGGCCGCCCTAGCCCTTGCGGCCTTCGGACTGGCACTGCAGGCGGTGCACCTGGATGGGTCAGGGAGGCCCGCAGCCGTGGCGGCGGCAGGAGCAGCGGCCGCAGGGGAGGAGGACGGGGACCTCGCCGGGGGAACACCGTTCGCGTTGCGAATCTTGCAGGTGCTTGATTTTTCGCGATTGTTACGTGGCAGAGGTCCCCAACGGGGGGGAAGCAGAGGTGGTTGCGACCAACCCAAGTGGGGAGGGAGCAACGGCAGTTGCAACAAGACCATGTGGTTTTAAGACAATGCCAGAAAAGAGACTAGTGCTGTGGCTTGTATTTCGACAGAGGAGTGAGGGCACCGAGTTCACGGCGCGCAGGTTATTCTTGCAGTACATTACCTGTCGTTTCCCACGCCGGCCTTCGCTACACCACCTAACCCTATACCTTATCGCCGGCCCTGCCATTTCGCTCTCACTCTCTCACCACACCGTCCCCAAGGCGATGCTGATCGCCCTCGTGGCGATAGCTCTCCGGTCCTACGCCAACGGCCGCGAGGCAGTAGGTCGGGCGATCGAGGCTACCAAGGGGTTATGCTGCGGCGGGATGATGCCGTCGTCGGGATTCGACCAGGGGTGGGGAGGAGGAAGTGGTGGGGCGATGGGGAAGGCGGCTGCAGCGGACGGTTTTGCGGTGCCATTGTTGCATCCGGGGCAGGTGGGCGGTGATGGAAAAGTTAACATGTTGCTGAACGGTGTCAGCCAACTGCTCTATTTTCGTCAGCTCTCTTTGTCTCTCTCTTGTGTAGGAGGACGCTTTCCCACGCTGGATTGCTGAGGGTGGGGCGCCCCCGGCTTGTTTGAATTGGGTGATCTGATTCGGAGATTATCCGCGAGATGTTATCCGCATGTCCGCCATGATGTCCGCTCACGGTGTTGTTTTCCTGTGTACGGAAAAGCCGGGGTTTTCATGGTACAAGTGATTGTCCATGTCCAGAAGGCCGCACGCAACAGCTTGTCTGATATGATGCACCAAAGCGTCGATATAGTCTTGTTGCGTGCCTGTGTCGGTCGCAGCTGACGTTGTGCACAGCCAATCAATCCCCCTCCGCGCTCACAATCTCGCACTGGGTCGCAGCTGACGTTGTGAACAGCCAATCAATCCCCCTCCGAATTCACAATCTCGCACTGGCCCATCCCTCCGCAATAACAAAAAAAAGGCAAAGGAGCTCTTCCGGACGACCTTCGGCAACGGCACCCGCAGCCGAAGCGGCACAGAGTCAACGCCCCCCGCCGGATCGCTCAACATCCTCAGTCGCGTGGCCTCCAACAAAGCCCCAGCCCTGCCCCCGCAGCTGGCGGACCCCCCGCAGCTGGCAGAGCGCAGCCGCGGCGGTCCGATGTCGTCGGACTCTTGCCCGCCCCCGTTGCCGGAATTATCGTCCGATGTGATGAGTCGCGACAGCAGTAGTGTCGCCGTCGCCGGTGCCGATTCCGCGGCGCGTGTGTCGGCGTCTGTGGCTGTCAGGGAGGGGGCGGCAGGCATTGAGGCTAGGGGTACGGATAAGGACAAGGGAGGTGGAGTGGTTGACGGGGGTGGTGGTGTTGCGGCGGCAGGCGGCGTGGGAGGAGAGGTGAGGGAGGCGTTTGGCCTGTGCCTCGCCCACACGTATGTGTGTGTGTGTGTGGTTCGCGTTAGAGGGAGCTTAGGTTGTGTGCGTTCATACATAGAAAGAAGAGAGGGTATCTCATGTTGTTTTCGCGTAAGATGTCTTGTCGGGCTATAGATTGATTTGATTTGTCCCGCTGCGCCTACTCGCTCCACCACCAAGGAGGTCAAGGGCGAATCTCATCGCTATCCTGAAAAACGCCCTCGTCCGCCACTTTTCTCCTAGGCTGCGAGTGGCCGTCCCTGTTTTGTGTCGACTCTTATCCGCGCATCCGCCACGACCACCACCATCTGCAGATTTCCCACGCTAACGTGTCCGATTCCACCCCCGTTCACGCGATTGCCACCGACTGCGTGCTCCTCTCCTTGCTCACGCGAACCTCGCTCTCCCCAATGTCTGGAACCCCGCACCCCACCTTGACACTTTTATCAGAGACCCGAGCTGGCAAGCTTGCCTCCGGAGAAGGAGTGGCCGCACCACCCCATCTTCGTCAGACTCAGCCCTTCCGTCGGAGATCAGGTGAACAGAATTAACCATGCGCGATCCTCTGGGTTTGGAAGCGGTTCCGGGCGCGTGGTCCTGTTGAAAACGTGTTGGGGTGGTGTCGAACAACTTGTGTGTCGTATTTTGCCCGCCCGCTCTTCCGCCCGTTTACCCCCCCTTCGCCCATTCTGCAAAAATGCCATCTGTATAGGGGGTGTAGTAATGTAAACGCGTGCCGTAGTCGTTAGACCATGGACCTCGCATGCCGGGACGGAGCGATATGCGGTTTTTTCACCGGCCCAAGCTGTAGGGGGGGGGGGTGGATCATGCGGGTTATCTACTAACCGATTGGTCCATCTTCTGCATCGCAGGGCGAGACTTGCATGTGTCGCGGTTCTGGTAAGGATAAATATTAATTAGACGATCAATGGTAGCGCTTGTTGTGTGTCGGCCTTCTCTCCCCCCCTCGCGTTTCCTGTGAGACAGGTGAGGTTAGACGGCCACGAGCCCAACTCGTCTATCCCGGTGAACAGCGACGACATTGCCGTTCCGTTCGAGACCCCGCTTTTCAAAGGCCGTTTACTGGTGCGAGTGGCGGGGCTGCCTGGAGACGGAGCGCAGGACTACTTCCGGGGAAAGAAACGGCTCATGCAGTGCGCTGTGCAGGTATGCAAGCACGTGTGTAGTATGTGGACCATGGGTTTCGATGTTGTTGGCATCGTCCGCGCGGGACATGCTACTGGAGTAAAAAGATGTCGGTAATCAGCTAGGCGAGACTCGCAAGAGAGCTCACTAGTGCGTGCTGTGTGCTCTAACTAACGGCCGCCGGGTTCGAAGGTCAGCCTCGGTGGGGCACACGCGCCAAGCGCTATTTCTTGACCGCGAGGTCCTCCAATAATTGAGCCGTTCAGGAGACCTGCATGCGTGTAGTTTGTCTTGCTGTCGACGGACCGAATGGCCCGCTACCCATAACGCCGTCTGAGCGTCACCGCGAAGTGCAAAAGCACTCTCCTCACGTGCGATAGATATTGTTGGCCTCAGGAGGATCGTATTCACACGGTTTAGCCTCGTCAACCAAATCGAGACCCATCCTACGCGATTCGCTTCTATCATGCGGTTTGACGCCTGTCTCTGTCCGCTGCAGGGCGAGTTTAAGAAGGAGTTGCCGTTCGACCGAGTCTACACCGGACAGGCGTACGACCGGCCTTTCACGCAGCTGCCCGCGAAGTGGCTCATCCGCTCGGCGTTCTCCTTGATACGGAGGCTTTCTCCCGCCCTTCGGGAGGACATCACCGGCGAGCGGCCGTATATGGTCAGCCCATTGGCGGCGACGGCCCAGTCCATGCGTGCCGAAGCGCCCGGTAAGCTGGTGCACTTCAAAGAAAGTGCACGATGAATTAAGATTTTAGCTTTTGGCTGTGTTTGAGAAAAATAAATACATCCGAACAAAGAAAGACTACCGTTCGAGATATGACGGAGGGGATGGGTTGAAGTCTTTACAGTGGGGGAAACGTACGTTGCCTATTTCGATGGATTTATCTGCGTTAGCAAGAAGAGACGAACGTTGAGGACGAAGTGCCATTCGAGTTTCGGAGTGTTGGTGAGGGGTGAGTGGCCGTGTAGGCATCCCCGGCCGCTGTTCCGCTGTTATTTGTTCTGAACGATCACCCCATGATGGATGTTATGTTTGCCATGAGATGAGCCTACGAAGGGATATGGCGTACCTCTCGCGGTTGGAATTAGTGGTTTGTCCATCGCCGAAACCTCCGTCAAACCCCATTTGGTCGAGCAGAAGAAGACTAAAACGAAACCGTTATATGGGACCGTCCACAACAATGCTTCCAGTATCTCGGCCGGTCCAGTTGGGCAGTCCTCCAGCTAGTGAGACAGCCACGTTTTCAGCAAATCCTAAAAGGGATCGATTGCACCCCAAGTCAATCCAGTCAACCAGCCTCAACGCCCCAAACCAGAGCCTGCGTGAAGTCGAGCCTCTTCTCACAAACCACGTTTCCCCTCATCGGTTTGAATTTTTTTGGCCACCAGGAGACGAGGTCGCCATCGTGGGCGACCTTGGCGAGGAGACCGGTCTGCTGGGAGAGTCGTTCATGGACAGCCGCGTCCCGTCCTCCGCTCGGAAAAAGTTTTTCAACAACCCGAGAAACCTCAAGGCCTACTCCTTCAAGCCTGGTGAGCTAAGATCCGTTCCGGTGGCGACGGTTGTCGGTTTCAGGGACGCTGCGGTGTACCGTGTCTGCGCCTGTAGTTTTTGCTGTTGTCGGCCTTACCCTTGCCCAGCATGTATATATTATTGCGGTGTTTTTCGTGCTTCGGCACATTTTTGTCTGGCGGCAGCGAACCTTTTCACCCGCTTCCTTCTCAAGGGCACGCAGGCGGCGCTTCCATACCGCGCATCCCGAGGGACTGTCAGACATCCGTGGCACATTCGATTGATGCCTAGAGTCGCTGCGACCGTCTCTATTTCGCGAGGAGGCATTCCGAACCAGAACAAAGCCTTCGCAGGAACCACAGACCGTTGTTTACTCCTGCGCAACACACACATCCCTATACACGAGCAACACAGTACAAAGACAAGAGGGAGCGAGCGAAAGCAGCGCGTTCCAGCAGTGCAGGACCTGCGGCAAGCACCTGATGTGAGGTACGTTTGCCACACTTTTAGAGGAGCACGTGTTCGATACCTTCTGATGGATATTTTCGGTCATCGTTTTGTTCCACGATCCTCAGGGGTGGTCTACACTTTCGACTTCTACCAGCACTTGTACAACGCGGTAACCTTCGAGCTCGACCTCGGCTTCCGGAAAGTGAAGCTCGCCGACTACCTCAACCACCAGCCGGCACAGGCAAGGGCCAACAACAAGTTCGGTTCTAGATGACGGGAGGTTCTTCTCAGAGACTGGCCGTGTGCCCGCGCGATATCTCCGCAACCGGCCGTGCGAAATCACGCAGTGCTCTCTGTCTTAGAGAGGTTGTTGATCGGGTGTGCCGTGTGGCCAATTGTCTATGCTGCGCACGTGAGTGGGTTTGGATTGTTTACGTCGGCGGCGTTTCTACCCGCGACTGTGCGAGTCACGGCGATTCTAGTGTGTCCCGTCGGAAGTAGGGGTGAACCCGCAATTTGTTGACGTCACGTCTGACAGCCCCTACCTCCATGAACGGCACAACCCAGCCTAAACCAGGGGTCGGGTAGCCGGCCTCTCCTCATTCAGCCGAAGCCATACCTAGCAATGACCACAGCATCCTCAATGCACCGACCGACCCACCAATCTCCCCCCCCCCGCGTCCGGTTTCCCAATGACCTCGTGGTGCTCCCTTTTTTGATAGATTATGGCATTGGACTTCGACACGGGCGAGATGCTGTGGAACGTCGAGATTTGGAATGCGGCTCTGCTGAAAATGACCAACCGGAGTTGATGAAGACACGCGCTGTTCGCGTTGGACACAGCAGAGGAAGCTGAAGGAAGTGTCGGCCAACGCTAGAGTGGATGTTCTATGCATAGAGTCACACGATGTGTTCGACAGTCAGAAGGTTGCATGGCTCAAAAGAGTTGACTCTGTGTACAGCAGAGTCCGTGCAAAGGAGGACCAATAGAGAGAACTGTCGCCAGATGGTTCCGTTTTTTGTCACAAGAGTTAGTACCTGACGGAGGAAAGGACAAACCGTCACCCCCACAATTTTTGGGGTCGGCTAGTTGGCCAAGCTAGTCTGCCAAAACACCTAATTGTATTCATATGTTCAAAGGGGAGCGTGATTTTCATTTTTTTTTAGTGTTTTGTACTTGTACCGCGGCATGTGTGTGACAAGAGGATGTGGCACCAGAGCTTGGTGCGGTTTCCTTGGGAAGTGGCTGCCTCCCAGTTCGGTCCTGCTAGAGCAAGTTAGGGTCTGCACCAGTTTCGTCGAAGGAGTGCAGATAGTTTTTTTGTCTACGATACCTCGATGCAAGTTCACGCCCAGGTTGCGGATTGGGGGTGGGTGGGTGGGTGGCGCAGAGTTGTGGCCACGAGATCCGTGTTTTTGGGGTACCTTGCTTGACCAGAATAATATGAGCTCGATATGTAGTTACCCACGTCTGGGTGTGTGGATACCGTGTTGTCGTGGTTGCTAAATCAGCGTGGTCGATCATGATCGCGCTTCTAGAATCCGGAAGTACACAAGGCCACGGTATCTTCAGGAAACTGAGAATCAGACAGGGTACACACTATAGTTGGGTGGCTTCGGCTACAGAGGGGATGGCAATTTCCAGGTCATGGCCCGGATCCAAGTTGGTCAGAACGTGAGGCTGTCTTGCCACGACACTTCGCTTTTTTTTTTCTGTATAATACTGAGGGACGGGGTCCCGGCAATTTCCGCACGTTTCCAGCCAGTACGGATGGCGTATAGTATGTAGTCGTTGAGCGTTGGACTTTGTACGTGACGGCGTGCGCTTATTCCGCGTGCGGCAGAGCTTGTCGGCCGGATGCGTCGTTCGTTTCGAACTGTCGCAAGAGAACCGTGACATTGCGGTAGCACTCTGTTTTCAAGCACGAGCTTCAAGCCCCGCGGAAGGTGATACTGAGGGATATTCGTGGTTGTGGGCCGGATCAACTGGAGCAGATCGCGGAACTTTAGAGGGGGGGCTGGTTTTACGGGCGATAAGGAAGACGAAGGGATCGCACCATAATAACCTCGAGCCGTTCTGCGCGGCTTGTCTGCCATCATCTATGTTGCACTGCCATGGTTGTGCCTAGTTGCGCTAGGAGAGTCTTGTTGAGAAACGTGCCGTGTTGCCCCTCCACGTACTGACAGAGAGAGAAAACGAGAGGTTTGCGTAGGTAATGGTTGAGGCGGGCACTCAAAAGTACAAGGAAGAAAGAATGTTTCAAAAGGTCTTAGACACGTGTTACACGGTTAACTGTTGCAGGGTGGTTCCCCTCACCGACCAAGACACATCGATGCAGACCAGCGCGCTTAGGTGCCAGAGGAAAACGTGGGAAACCGTCACGATGACACAAGAAACAGCACGTGCCATCCAGCTATGTATTCACAAGGGGGGGCGTTGCTGTTGTTGCCCCCGGGCGCTAAGGTGGGTACAGTCAGCGCAACCAGACGCTGGCATGAAGTAGAAAACGACCATCCAAGGAGATGCAAGGGAACCATGTTTACCAATCTGTGACAATCGACACGCTTTCGGTGGTAACATGTCGTGTCTCCAACTCGGGGCAAGTACAGTACCCTAAAAATTGCCCGCCATTCCATCCCCGAAAAAAATAACGGGCAGTTTAAGCTCCTTTCGTTGAACCCACCAAGATTAAGATTCCCACCCACGGAGCAGCCTCTTCACGCCGTCCCTTTCAAGCCACATCAGCAACCACGAACAGCCTATTCTCCGGAAACACGATCCAAGTTGACAGCGCCCTAAAAGTATTAATATTTCTTGGACTCACAAGTGGTGTGGCCGCGATAGAAAACGCATACACGTACAAAATGAGAGACTTTTGAGGCACTCTATCGATTTCGAACTCCTCTACACGGCAGACACGGCTTGCTCGATGGAGTTCTCTCAGCCGGTGCGAATCGCCGCAAATCTCATTCATCTCAGCGCACCGCTACACCCAATTGAAGGACTTGTCTTGCCTGGAGCGTGTTTCTTTTCCAGTCTGCAGCCTTTCCCCCACACGCCACGTCGCGCTCCTCTCTATGACATGTCCGCTCTCTCTAGCTTCTCGTCTCTACTTTGGAGATGAGGGACACCAAGACGAGAAGACATGTCTCTCCAAGTAGGCCTGGGCGACTCCGGGCGCTGCTCTTTGTATGTAGAAAACCGTCATGGTCCGACAGTCGTGATTCTCGTCAAGTATAGTCCTTCCATCATACCATGCACCCCCCTAGTACCCGCCAAAAACATGAATACAAAGACAAATAGTGAGTGAATGACATTCTAGAACCATTCGGTTTTTCTCTACATTTCTGCCTCGAAGGTTAAATCGCATGGGCGGGAACCACTTCCCTTGACGCCAATTCGCGGCATCAATATGTGGCAGTCACCTCATCTACAAGTAATTACAAAAGACCAACGCTGATTCGCGTCCAACACAACCAACCCTGCGCTGTATGCTACATGTACTGTACGTCTCCGTGACCATGTTGACGCACCAAATGCGTCCCTCAACACTCGACGACAACGGTCTTCTCCGGAGGTGAGATGCTTTACAAGGTCAAGATCAATAACCCCCGTGCTGGCACAAAACAAATACTACGAATTTCTGGCGTTTGAACGCACGGAGGTACGGCCAGGTCGGCACTACTCTCCCCGGCTAAGGAGGTTTTTGAGAAACTCCACAGGGCCCACCGAAACCTTTCTACGGCCAGTCATGTGTTTGACCATCTGCACAGGGTCCTGGACGAACTTGCACCTGAAGAACTCGATGTCGCTCAGGATCTCGCTGATCTTGACGGCAAACCGAACCTGAAAAAGACACGGCGAAAATGTTGCAGTGCCGTTGTTGGTCGAAAGCAGCAAGGGATGAGATAAACAGGGGTCCGACAGCAAGATCACACAAGGACTCACGTCCCTGAAGTTGCTCACCGTTAAGCAAAACCCGGACTCCGCAAAATGATGACTGGCGCAAAACTCACAAACTTGGATACTTGAGGGAAAGCCCAGCCGACGTATTTTGGAAAGCGGTAGTCGACTTCAATTGGCGGGTACAGCAGGAAGACGATAGGTCACCAGGCAGCCGGCCTATCCTTTAGCTCCAAGTTGCGGCGCATAAAACAATACGCACGCTACAACCCGGCATGTGCGTATTCGGACAAACTTCTGCTAAGAACTGCAACGGCAGCTGCAACAAACAGATGGAGAGGTGGCAGCGACGCGGCAAAAGTAGGTCGTGACAAATACGTCTGTATCCTTTGCCTCATCCACTTCCCGAGTTAGCCAATGCGTGCGTGAATTTCTCTATTCCCTGGCACATACAAACGTGGGTCACCACGAAAAGTACTCGGGACTCGTCACGGCCTTCCCAGAGACACAATCGTGCGCACATACAGCAGTCTAGGACCTACTGACGAGAATCCCAGGGATGACCCGCTTCACAAAACATCTGGCAGCACTTTCAGCTGGCAGCACTTTCAGGGGTACAAGGCGGCCAAACGAACACCAACGCCCAACAACTTGATGACCTCGACGAGGTGTTTCACAAAGAAAGGCTAGACGCCTCCACTCACGACAGGTTCCACTAGCCCCACGGCTCCTGGCCCCACCGCCAGCGGGTGCAATCCCGGGATTTCGGCCGTGTACAAAGCGCTTCTGTGGCAGTAGTAGCCCAAGATCGTCAGTCCGGCGTGGATGACAGCGCTCCAAGGCGTGTGCACTATCGTCATTTGCCCAAGTTTCCTTTGGTTTCGTAGAGAGGGAGCGAGAGGCAAAAACATGTGTCGTGCTTGCATTCACTTCTCTTAGGATGTCATCACTACCCCTTTCGCGACGAAACATCATTCACTCCAGCTTGGTTTTGGTTTGGAACCTCTCTGAAGCAAAAGGTGTTGTCTCGCTTCATCTTCAAGACTATTCACTACTTTGTCAAGGCCAGTGGAGGAGGGGGTCACGCATGGGAAAACCAACGCGCGTGGGAGACAGCGCGCACAAGCAGGGGAGACATTCAACCAGGCACCGTACGTGAAGGGGAATGAAGGGTGGACGCACGAACTCTCGGTTTTTCCGGCAATGGCAGCAGAAACGAACAATCAACCCGCACTGTTCGCCGAAGCAAGACACAACAACACGGAAGCAAGAGCAGGACTTGTGAAAATGTAGGGTTGGCGCCACTTGATGATGCGCCCCCGAAGCCCAAAATTTGTCCACGCACGGGCTCTCTAATCTTGTACATAGACAAAAAAACGGGCGACAACTCCGAGGTCAACACATGATGATTGACGCACAAAAAAGAACGACCAGCCCCGGCGCACAAGCGACGGCATCAACCGCAGTAGGAGAAATGCCGGTGTGGCAAAAACAAAATGATAGCAAAGGTTAAGGTTTCTTGAGGAGGGCTAAGTACCTGCGTGCTGGCTCGGTGAATAGGACCACGTAGTCCGTCACCACGCGACCACCGTAGTACACCATGGAGAGCTGCACAGCAGTAGCGCCCGGCAGGATATAAGAGTGAGGCGAACACGAAGCACGAAAGGCGCTCGACTCAATCGCCATTGTTGGCTTACTGCTGCTGTTGGTGGTGGTTTAGATGGTGCTTGGGGTTGGCGACGACGATATCGTCATGTCCCCAAATCTCCTTTTCAAAACAAAACATCCAGTCTAGGGTCACAAGGAAGATGAGATATACACAAAAAACAGCAGGGGGACTGTGGCGAGCCTGCACGACCAGTCTAAACCCATAATTTCGAGGTATTTCCTTCCCTACACGAGTCATGACAGGCTTTGAGAAAAACGAAAAAGATACATGAACAGGTTCAAAACCATTTCTCAGTCTAGGCGCAAAGCGCAGAGTGAATATGATAGTCGTTCTGCAAACGTTGCAAGAATCCTTTGGAGGACTGTCCGCGCAGCCATGGATCCGACCCACAACCATCACACGTTACGATGATTCACTTGTTGATGCAACGCTTAGATCCTCTGGAGGACTGCCCGCGCTGCCATGGATCCGAACCACAGCACGCCATGATGATTCACTTGTTGATGCAACGCGTAGGTTGGCTAGAGAGAAAATCAGCATACTATCCCATCCCACCCAAGCAGCATCTCCATGCACACCCCGCAGGTAGTCACGTCAAAATATATTGCGACTCACACGCGGAGTCAGTTCAGGGGGAATCACACCGAACACAAACGCTGCAGAATCCACGCCGCCTGCAAACGAATCCCCGATGAGGGAGCGAGTGGCTACTCGCAGGGAGCCATGGTGTGCACAGCTTTATTGCGGATGACGGTCATGCTTCAGCAGTCGTTTAATCCGTGTGAGCGCCGTCACAACAAGGGGAGGCACTCATTACCTTGAGGGCCACGGAAGGGTGCACTCGGAAGACGGCAAAGACGACGCTGTAGCAGAGGATGTTGAGAGCCATATTCCGCGGCCCGCCCATCGCGTTGGCCTTGCCCATGTACTGAACCATCACCAGTAACGACGATGACAACAAGAGCATGGGCAGGGTGTTGTCATCACTACGATAGTCCACGCAGAAGGGGCCATTGTTCAAGTTACCATCAGCACCAGATTGAGTACAAGCAAAGGCATATGAACAGCATAACAGCAACGGAAGCGCCAACTCACAAATCACCAAAACACAGGCGACATTGGTGCGCATGAGAACGAACGAGATGCGTTCTCGTGTTCCAGCGAGTGTTAATTTCGAGGCCATTTCCCTCAACATTCCCAGACGAAAGCACGAATGAGCGATGACAGAGAGGACGCTTGTACGACTACGACCGAGTCAAGGCCAAACGACGACTCGGGAGCAAACCTCATGCAAAACAAGCGATGCCTAGCCCTACACACGATAGGGACAACGAGCGCGGACAACCGCAGCACTAGCAACAACAAAACAACGAACAAGAACAACAAGAACAACAAGAACAAGATCAAGCGAGAAGCTTACCGGGATGTCCTCCTCATCGAAGTACGGGCTGAGATCCAAGCGGTAGCCGATGGGATCAATGATGGGTCCGAACAGGTCCAGCACATGAGTCTGTTCCGTGCGAGGGCACACGCGACAGGATCAGCGCCGAGACGCAGGCATCAGCGGCAGTCAAGGCTTACGACGCACTCATTGCTGCCTGTCCTTCCCGATAGCCATTTACATATATTGCCCAGCGTTTCCACTCGAATCGAGCTTGTCGTGTCCGGAGGTATCGTTTTCTTCCATTTTGGTAGTGCTTGTCCTGGTTGGCAGGCCTCTCCGGCTCGCCGGGTTGCCAAAGACGAGACCTTGACCCGACGCGCGACATGGTATGAACTGCAAACACTAGGTGCAGTTGCAACACTTGTTAAGTCCAAATGTGTTGGTCGACACGTGAAGGCGCCACATCATGGTACGTTCTTCGACAGCCCCCTCCTCGAGATGTCCGCAACAGCTGTAGCACTCCCCTTCGAAATGACCGAATGGCCGCACACAGTGGGTTTACATAGCTTGGACGGCCCCCGATACGATTCAACAACGGAACACACTCCGCTAGACGACTCTGGAGGGAACCGAACCGATCACAACATGGGGCGAGTTTTCGATTGTGCGGACAAGCGCAATCAAAGAAGAACTAAGACTACCTGTGTTGGTACCACTGGGTGGCGGGTGGAACAACCAGCGAGAATACAACAACAACCGCCACAAACAGCAACCTCTATCAATTGAAAGGTGAGCAAAACCTTTAGAGCCTACGCTGGAAAGTGGAGAACAGAAAACCTGCTGAAAACTTCAAGAGAAGATAAGCAATGCCAGGGGAAAATCATCACGCTCCGCAAAAAACACGCTTCCAAAAAACAAGTAGACAACTTGCCTTGAGAAGGTTGCCGATGTGAAGGCCAAGCGTAAATTGCCCCGCCGTCTGGATGGTCGAAGCCGTAAAGCAGGCGATGAGCGCATTGTAGACGCCGTTGAAACTGGACCTAGCTTGCCTGGGGCCGACCGAGCTCTGTTTGCAAGATAGGGACGGGGATCTTGTTTGTGGCGATAAAAAAAAAGAAGGAAATGATAGCGCGGGGTAACCAACACACGTCTGCTTTGGCCTTTCGTACGTGGAGATGGCCTACATTTACGGAGTAAAAATATAATCAATTTCTAGGTGAGTTGCCGATGTATCTCTGTCATTCTACATGCGGATCAAACGAGTCGATATTGACGCCGTCAACGTAGCCTCCGCCACCGCCGCCGCAATAGCGCATCAGCTACTGTTGGAGGCCGGCTGCATCAGTTCCTGAGTTCGTCGAAGCATGTGACTCCGAGCGCGGACGTCCTCGTAGCAGACAGATTTGTTGCTCGATGTAAATCTGTTTCTTGATTTGCAGCATCACGCTCCCTGCCGTCCTCTATTTTTATCTGCCCATCCGCCCGTCTGTCTTTCTCCTTTACGCCGTGCACAGGATCCCGCGCAACAACTCCAGGTTTTCAGACTGGACACGTACCACGCGAAACCGCTCATTGTTCCTTAGACAATCTTGTAGGATTCCTCTACGCTAGGTAAGGTATTGACGAGCGATACATCTACGAAGAAAGCTCTCCGAACGAAAATTCCGCAACTCCATGCTGAAGCATCCTTTCCTTGCTGAGAACTGCACGGATCCGACGTATGGCCAGGGGGTGGTGCCTTTTGCTCACAAGATGCGCTTGTCTGCATGTCGTCAACCCTCCTCCGCCTGACATCTTGTTCATGATTGTGACTCACCCGTAGCGACAACACCGAGCTCCTCGCGGACTGGAACAGCTCCTGTTCTTCTTTGATCTTCAAAAGCTCCGCCCTGTTTCTCAACATCGGGCGGGCAGGCCTTGTTAGTTATCACGCATTTTGTACAAGAAACAACAACAACTCCGCCTGTTCATCGACATCGGGTGGGCAGGCCTTGTTAGGTATCAGCACATTGTACAATAAACAACAACAACACGACAAACTGTAGGCACCACAACATGTTGGTGCAGACGGTGGGTTGTTAACCACCGTGCAGGCATTGCGTCATGACAGAAGAAGCATCGCGAGCAACGGCGCTCGCCTTCTTGGTGCTCGGTGAGTCGCGAATAGGGCAAAAACGACTCCAAGCAATCAATTCTGCATCGAGGGTGGGGGTACAGACAGCTTGCGTGTCTTTGTCAGACGCGGTATTGCTCCTCTGTGATTTGTTCCGGGTGGCCAAGCTCATTGGTGTCAAGCATCCCGAGTCCGAACAAAGGGAACGGACTCTTTTCTTTCAGGGCTGATTGATACAACGGTAGTCAGCGCATCATGGAGAAAATGGCGCTTCCAACAAAACAGGAAAGTGCATCCTCCGCCGCTCAGCAAGCTGCTAAACTGCAATCGTTGAACGCGCTTCCGAACCAACCACTGTCGCCAACTGTTTCAGAATACATGTTCTCCAAGGCTCGTAATGGCAAACACGGGAGACATGAAGGTAATCCTTGTGCTTACCAGCACGTGGCGCGATGGGAGCTACAAGGGCCAGGGCGGTGGCATGCCGTGCGTTAACGTTTATGCCAGTGCTGCTACCCAGCTTTCAACCATTGCACACGAGAACCAGAAGACGGGCCCATTCCAAGATATGAACGTACTCGGTAGTAACACTCCCGTGTTTGCGTCAAAAAGGGATGCAGCGCAAGACTAGGAGTTCGAGATCAGCCTCATTGCACTGGACGGCACATAGAATTGGACAAGAAGCCGGGACTGGCACGGAGTCACCTGTACTTCTTCATGAAGTAGGTGGTGTCGCGTTCGCTCAGGAAGCCGTCCGAGAGCAGCCGCTTCTTCTCCTCGATCATCCTTTCGCGCGCCGCCTGGAACCCAATCGCAGCACGGCGCCCAACAACAACCACACTAGCGTGAATCTACTACGGTATGTAGCATGTACAAGTATTGCAGATTGGACGCGCTTTGCTACTGGTTTAGACTCGTCGAAGTACCAAAGGCATACGTATATAGTCTCAATTCGCACGGGCATTTCGAAATTTGGCGGCGTCAATGGAGCAAAGAGCAAAACGTGTCTGCGTTAGCCACGATACGCGAAGCGCAGAATTCAATGCGTGAGTTTTTCGTCATGTTTTATCTGGAAGCTAGTTTTCACAACTTTATGCGTGTTTCTGTGCGTTTCAGGCGGGGCCACCTAGGAGGCCACACGATGTAATGGTCTTGTTATTTCTCCGCCTTCCTTCTGAGGGGCTTACGTAAATTTTGTTCGTGCGAACGATTCAGTCATATTGTTCCCTCGCCGACCGTGAGGTCGATTCTTGTCTTGAAGAAATTGACACCTATCCACATTGTGTGGGCATGCCGTGAAAAAAATCCCAGGTAATGTGACTATTGCTGTGCCTTGATTCGATCTCAATTCCCACACATCCGACGGTTAGGACGTGGCCTACTGAATAATTCGGCCATTTTAGAACGACCAAGGCCGTTCCTCCGATGTTGCGTAAAAGTCGTTCAGTGCATAGAGGGATATTGTGGGAACGATTGTTGTAACAGGTATTGTACGTGTGTCGAAACCAACACACTCAGCACCAAAGCTCATCACACGCATTAATGGGGAGTGTATCTCTTGGGGATGCTTCTTCACTGAGAGGCAGGCGTTCATCAGCAGCAGAATAGTCTCAAACATGCTGGCAAGAACCGCAAAAAGCCGGGTTGTTGGTTCGGATCTCTCCGGAGTATTTAACTCGATATAAAGGAGTGGAAACCGCATGGTTGTGAACACAGGAACGAGTTGAGAAGGTCGGGACAAGCCAAAACAATATATTAAGTCCGATTTTCTCATACCTAATCTGTCAAACCCGTAGACACCACCGTCCTCGAAACAGAACAGACACACCTGAAGGTCATCGCCCTTGACGACTCGTTCTCCCACCGTCTCGGCTGCTTCTGCTGCCTCGCGGATGGACCTCCTTGCGCTGGCGTATTTGCCAACGAGTTCCCTGACTGCCCTTTGCACCTGTTTCGGAAAAAGAAACAATGCGCAAGTCCTTGTCAGCGTCGCCCATCATTGACGCATGCATTTTTGACGCCGAACCGCTGGGGGGCTAAAATAAAACAAACTACCAACACTCTCTGAGCTGCAGGCGCGCATGATCGGAGCGTTGTGCTGGTTTGCTCGACTGCTCTCGGTTGTCGACAACGTGGGTAGACACAGGTAAGGCGACGTCGTGGCAAAAATTCAAGTCGTAGGGCTAGTAGCGGTAGAGCAGCAGCGGCGGCGGAAACATACGCAGAGTCAGAGATATGGAATGCACAAGTGGCTCTCTCGGCGGACGCTCTCGTTAAGGCATATCTGTACCACAGGCCACCTCGCTTCCCCTTCTGCCTATACAATACCCGGTTTTGGCAGCGGGCCACGCAAGAAGAAAAAGGCGGCCGGAACCTTCTCCGACTAGTGGGGCAGCCTGCTGAATGCGATCTGCACGCATCTGCAGTAGTAGCACCTGCTTCATTCCAGCAATGCGGAAGACGATGACGTGGAACGCGAAGGTCCGGAAGGCCATGCCGTAAAAGAGGAGGGACAGCCCGAACCCAAGCCGCCCCAGATGTAAGACAGGGACCCCCACAACTGCCATGTAGCTCCACATGGTGACAAGCGCATCCTCCACCTTGGTTGTTGTAAATGTCGCCATCGGCCGGAAAGGAGGGTGTGAGGGTGTGAGGCGTCCTTACAGCAACGGATGCAGGGATCTACCAACCTGTATCGTAGCATCCTGCGACAACGCCCCGCCCCTGCGAAACAAACACCGGGGGAACTTCCAGAAAAACTACTCCATTATTTCGAGTTGATGTCAAGAAAAGAAGAGAAAAGACAGTACATGCAGTCGTACAGCACGTCTGCCGGGCCGGGCGGGCGGTCATTAGGCGTCCCATGTGTTGGCCGTACGTCATTTGTGCTAATAGCCAAATCAGCACACGGCATACGACAATATTTTCCCTTACACGATTACGTGGGGGGCAGAAAAATTACCAAAATATTATTTTAGAGCAGTGGCCAGAATCGGGTACACCCGGCCCAACCACGGCCATAATCGGGTACCCCTACAAGATGCTGCTGCGAGCGACCGCATGACACCATCTGATTGGCCGACGCCCACCCCTACCCGACCTTGACCGTCTTTCCAACGGGTGCACCCGATCTTGGCTACTCACCCCCTGGAGGGGTACCCGGTTTCTCTTTCCCCTACCCGAAAATGGCTGGGCTGTTCGGCCAAATCCCATGCACACATGCACATGTCAGCAATGCCCTGCCCTCGAATTCGGACGTTCCGACGGCGGGTAGAGGTGGACCCACCGCCAGCGGCAGAACTCTCGCTAGGGGGAAACAGCAGGTGGTTGGTGCAAATGATCTAGAAGAGCTGGGTGAATAGCTCACTCACGAGATGCGACGCACATGAGACGCATCTAAAGAATGGACAACATCTTGATGCTCTCTGCTTCCCGTCCGCTTTCTCATTGCCGACAAACGAGCGGCCAGCGGTGTGCGTCCGACGCGTGATTGTGTGATGGGTTTTGGCCGAACAGCCCAGCCATTTTCGGGTAGGGGAAAGGTAAACCGGTTACCCCTCCAGGGGGTGAGTAGCCAAGATCGGGTGCACCCGGTGAAAAGACGGTCAAGATCGGGTAGGGGTGGGCGTCGGCCAATCAGATGGTGCATGCGGTCGCTCCCAGCAGCGTCTTGTACGGGCACTCGATTATGGCCGTGGTTGGACCAGGTGTACCCGAATCTGGCCACTGCTCTGTTTAAAACCTCCTGAAACAGCAGTGCCATTTTTCTTTGAGCTGCATATTATTGAAAAAAAAAACAAAAACGCTCACATAGTCGATGATGAGGCGGTTCTTCCGCGGGGTTCCCCCAGCGTTGACACTTTGCACAGCGGCGGCAATGACGGGCCTGATGCCAGTGCTATCTTCGTTACCACTACCGCCGCCGCTGCTGCTGCTGCTGCTGCTGCTGCTGCTGCGGCTTCCCGGAGACGCAGCCCCCCCCCGAAAGCACGCCGCGGCAGCGAACGCCTTTCCGTGGGAGGACCGGGACCCAGGAAGACGGGTGTCGTTGTCGTCATCGCTGTCGTCGTCGTGTTCGTCTGAGGATATGCGGAGGCAGCCTGGCGACCCGCTCCTTTCACGAAAGACGGGGGGGGGGCGGGCGGGATGTAGTCATAGTCGTGCATGCCGTAGTCGTTAGACCATTGAACTCGCATCCCTACAAAGCCGGGCCGGAGCACGCCGGGTTCTCACCGGACCAGGTTCTCACATCACCAAGCGCGAAGTGCCGTGAGGTATTCGGCGAGTCGCATGAAGGGTGCGCTGCATCCTGCGAAGGGTATTCGGCATCTTGTGCTTACTTCCTTGCGTACGGATGACAGCTGCGCATGACTCGATTTATTTTCTGGTGCTTTCGCTTCCAGAGACAGATGCAAGCACTGTGTAACTGCCTCGAGGGTGCTTGACCAATTTAACAGAACGTGGCGCGATTACCCCCTTTGCGCGGAGTGAGGGTATCGACCCCGCACAACATAATCTGCTCGACCACCATTCGTGGTTAACGCAACCCCCCCCCAAAAAACAAAGGCAAAAAAAAAGCGGTAACCTGGTTGCCGAGCTCACGAAGTGATCGGCTTGTTTAACAACATCGCTGCCAAGGGACGAAACCCAACCCGGATGGCAAACCCCGGGGGGGGGGGGGGCATCGACCGACTTCAGGTTTTTGCTAGCGGGTGCGGACGGAGCAGGAAAACAACAAACCGATATTAATTGGCGCCCTCTTACGCCCGTCCAATTGGAAGAGACGATGGCTGGTGAGTGTGTATGCGCTGTGTCGGAAACATAAAAAAAAAACGATGCGACTTAATCCTGCTTCAAAGACATAAAATCCTTCCGAGATTTGAAAAAGCAACATCATCAATAGCTCGCCCTAAGAACTCTTGGTAAAATTTGCATGGTCGACCGTCGGGGAGACATTCCAAGCCTTTGTCCAACATTGCAAAATACCTTGAAATACCTGACAAAAAACTTGAGGAAGCTCCTTGAATCCTACAACTATGTTTACCAAGCGTGGGGTATATAGTAGGATCGACGAGGAAAAAATAAGTCAACAGCAACAGATTTGCATATTTGTCGCCGCGTCATCCTTCTCTGTTCTATGAGGAAAAATAAAAACAAACACAGAAATGCTACATACCCGTTCGAGATATAGCAATAGTCGAACGGGATCTTCTATGTTACCTCTGAATAGAAATGGCAAAAAGGGGGGACATGCGTAAAAACAAAATGGAAACAGAAAAAAATCGAGCGCTCATCATCGGATTCGAACCCGTAACCTACGCTACACGACGCCTGACACGTGAAATTTCACGTGTTGATCGGGGAGCGCACGCCTGTCATGTCGCCGATTTTGATTTCGAGGTCAGGGTTCGGCGTTGGGGCCACGCAGACACCACAGCGATCTACCAAAAAGGGAACCACCGAGTTTGAGAAACGTGTATGTATCCAAAAACAAAGAAGTGCCATGAAACACGAAGAAGGCGGCGAGATCCACGTTGCATACATACGCGGCAAGACGAGGTGGTAGTTTTTACGATGCGCGAGGAAGGAAAAATAGCAAAAAGGATTACGGGAACTGTCCCTAGGTACCAATACCGTTGGTACCCGGCGTTCCCGTCTGACACACTTATGAACACGCAGCCGTGCACGGCTGGACCACTTCACGCCGAGCGTACGAGCTCATCTTGGCGGAACATCATCTGATCTTCACAACGATACCAAGGATCGTGTGACCTTGCTTGACAGAGCAATGGCGAGGCTTTTTTTTCCCCTTCTAAACCCCTTTTTTCGCATTTTCTTATTTTCTTCACCTACTTGCTGACAACGTCCAGGCGCGCTAGCGGTGGTCGCAGCGCTCTGGGATCGTCGAGGACATGAGGTGCTCAACTCAAACTGCCCATATGCTTACATTTGCACAAAATCTTGATTAATCTACACTATCTACGCATACCGCAAATAGTTTTGCGGATAGATCAGCCGACGAGCCGGTTGTGGGAGGATCGACATAATCGACACGGATTGTGCGCGCACCAAATCCACCCGTAGCCGCGACCCTTCTGCCGCAGTCTGTCCACCAACAGCAAGCAAAACACAAAACGCCTCCGTCCGATAAGCTTGTAGAGCACCAATTACCTGGCGATAGCCCTGGTAGGAGCAGCACCGGCTCTCTCGCCTGCCGACGAGAAGGGTCCACGGCGGTGGGATCCGCGTAGTGGTTGCCTGCTTTGGTGTTGCCTGGATGGGCCGAGACCACGCCGTATGCGATCCATCATGCCCTGCTCGTCGTTGGAGGCACCGCCCCCGACACCACCGCTGCTGCTCATGCTGCTGTTCGTTCTGCTGCTTCTCCCGGAAGCGGCCCTACGAAGCGACGGAGCGGGAGCCGCTCCCGCCGCCGGCGCAAAAGCCGACGTCGCGTCTGCTGCCTGCATCATGCAACAAAGCGCAAAGAGGCAGGAGGGTTGGCTTTCGCCAGCATGAAAAGTTGATTGGCAACGCAATCTCGTCCTTGGTCGTCTATCGCTGCAGAATCGAGAAGCGGTGGTGCGGTTTGCGCTATCGTGGTGCGGGGCACGAGCACGCAATCCCAAACTTACTGTGCTGCAACCAGGCACCTTGTTGCATGCGTAAGCTACGTAGACTAGACTTACGTAGATTACGACTGAAAGTTTTGTTCCTGGCGAACAGGGACGACGCGGCTTCGGAGACAAACGTTAATGTTTCGCTGTGCAATTTGCATGGCTTAGACTACAGAGGTGGAGCGAGCTCACACATGCACGGAGAGAGAGACAGAAGCCCTTTGCATGCGAGTAGTTCGTACTACGGCGGAAGAGGATGAGGCAAGGTCGACAATTGGCGATCTTCCCATCTCGCCGAGAGCTGTCGGCTCTCTCTCAACCCAACCCGCAGCAGCAAAGATGCACCGACTGCTGCTGCGGTGGCACATGATAGTGGCTTGTGGACATCGGAGAAAGCCTACCGTCTATAATCATTCAGCTCAATCAAGCACGTGCTCACCAGCAGCAGCAGTGTCGCCACCAGAAGTAGTCGTGCGGCAGCGACGCTCGAATCCGCCCACATCAACCTTGTCGAGTGGCAACAATAACAATCAGCACTCACACAGGGTACCACTTTGCAGATCAGCGATCACCACTGCAACGACAGCAGCAGGCTAGGGGGGAGGTATATCCAACCGATTGGTGGGGGACCGTATCACCTTCGCCAGTGAGAGCTCATCAAAAGGGTGTGTGCGTGCGCTTGTGTACAGGGTTTGGTGTGCCCGTGTGTGACGGTCGGTCAACTTCTTGACTTCGAGAGCGTAGTAGATAGGAAGGGGGCTCGATGGATGGGAAGGGCGGGCAATCTTGGAAGTAGAGAAAGACAATTGCACATGATGATTCGAATTTGACGAGATCGGGCGCGACGTATCGGAGATGGCCATGAATGGTATACGTTAGAAGGTTGATAGCTCGACGAGGAAGAAGGGCGCAAGGAACGCATGGTGTGGGGCGTTTTTTATTGCGCGCACGTATGCTATGCACTGAACAAAACGTTCACGAAAATAATACGTATGGGCAAAGAGGAAAAAAAACACATGAAGAATGAGATACCCTGTTGCACGCCGAAGGCTATATTTCAATGCGAGGCACCGGGCGGTAGTGAAATAAATTATTACATGCTGCTGCTGCTGCTATAGACACGTCTTCGCGCATGCACCCGCAGTTTTAAACATGTTTTGTTTCGTGTTGATTCGGATTCAAATTCTCTTCTCAATCTGCCATCATCAATCACAACAAAACTGCTGCTGTCTGTAGACATCGTCCGGATACAGTTAGTTAAAGATTGCTGCTGCTGCTGCTGCTGCTGCTGCTGCTGCTGTATATAGCGTGCAGTGTGATGTTCTCCAACAAACAAACAGGACGTTCTTCTTCGCGTTCAACAATAAACACGCGACCTTGCGTCAACCTGTAGCAACAAAGTGTTCGTGCAAGGTGGTAGCCGACAGTTTGTTGGAGGTAACAAATCTCTGCTGTTGTCTACGAGCCTCCGATACGAGGCCATAAGTTGTTCGAAAGCGTAGGTGACAACACCTCAGTCATACATGGAATGGATGTCATCATGTTCGATCTCATCCCGCATGCATTCCCTCCTCACAAAATTTCCCATACCGTATATGACACAAGATAACACACCCCCTGGCCCGATTTTCAAAGCTCAATTACTCGATGACGAAGAGAATACATAAACGAAATGATACATGTTCGAAAATCTCTCAACGAGACGGTTCCAACGCCGCCGTTTTCGGCGCTGTGAGTGTTTCTGCTGTTGAGAAATCGATCTTTGAAAATCGGTCAAGGGGGTGTGTTATCTTGTGTCATATACGGTACACACCCGTCTTCCTTCCGCTTCACGTTTGATGGTGATCGGGCATCGACCTTCATCGAAAATTTGAAAATTTCCGTCGGTTTCAATTTTTTTTACCACCGATTATCGACGCCACGGACGGACGGACGTGAGGACCTCACATCGTCTGAGACTTACACCCTTCTATCGTACCGATGTAATTATCGCCTCTACTTCCTCTGCCTATCAAACCGCCGCACCCATCCCACGCATGCTGGCCGCCCGCCCCACTGGGGGGCGGGGGGCCAATCGTTACCCCTGTTGTAGATACTTGAACTACACGTAAGTATGCAGTCAGTCGGCCAATCGAAACCTACTTTTACTTGCTCCCCGAGTAGTACAAGTCTGACAGAGACAAGGCTAATCTACGATATTCCAGGCAAAGACACTCTCACCTGCGCAGATCATAGCTAGTCTCGCGAGTTCGATTGTAGACATGTGCCAAGCGTTCCACCATCAGCAAAAGCGAGCAAGCGACACTCCATCATCCGGTCATCCGGTCAGGCATGCATGCATGCAGGCGTGGTCATGACTCACAGTTGTGATATCAGCTCAATAGCGCTCAGGTCGGGTTCGTTCACAAATGTTTCGTGCTCAGTTTCCGGACACAAAGGTCACTCACAGCTAGGTGCTATTAGCTCTCATCGGAGGAACCATTTAACCATTTCATCATTGCGCGGGATTGGTTGGCCAATGGCAATTGCGCCGTTGGTTCCATGTTTACTGCGAAGGGCGGTTACCTATCCTTCGCAAACCCCCCTCCAGACACTTACTTATCATCGGGACATCCATACATGTGCTCCGGACTCTTGTGCCTCGCGCCACAAGAGTCCATCGTCGCCCTATTGTACTCCGGTCACCTGGCCTCGCGGTCACAAGTGTCCATCATCGCACTATTTAGAACCGGTGCATACGGCCGTCCAGAACACAAGTTGCAGCAGATATATACTTCGAAGTTGGTTGCAGGACGGCGAAGAGGCGGACCCCGGAAATGACCATGGCTGAATACCAATATTTCTCTTCTGTGCACCGTGAAGTTATAGTAGTGCGCAGTCCTGGGCGCACCAGATCTGCCTACAAGAACTGTACAACATTAAGATAACGTTGTGGGATTATGTACACGCGTAGCGATCCCTGAAAACTCTGATGATGTCTCACTTGTTTACTCATTATTCTCTTGGAACAGCAGTGCTTGCTGTTGCTTTGCTCTCAAAGGTAGACTGAGCTCAGAGGGGGAGGACATGTTCCCTCTAAAAGGGGCCACAAACGTCCTATCCCCTGTATTATCTTTCCATCGGGAGTTACATCTATCGTTCTTTCCTCTGGGAATTACTCCGCAATACCGGTGACACTGTCTACAATTCAAATCCCAAACAATAGCCCACCCTGAAGGTTCCCATACGCAGATACTTGAAACGTAAGAACTTGACAGCAAATTGTCGAATCCCAAAATGAAAGGATCGATAGCCGCCAAACATCATTATGGAAAGGAGAGAGAGATGATCCGAGTCAGACTGCTGTGTGCTCAGGCCAAGTGCTGCTAAATGGAAGCATGTGCTTGACGTCGTAACGTTCTACCGTCCAACTTGTCTCACATCTCGAGAGACGATGTCATTCGCACATGCGAGAAACTCTTTGCAAGAATCGTCTCCAAGTACCATACCACCCGCATCATCTTTTCTTGCAATCCATTCATCCCCCTATCAATAACTCCCCCCACCCAGGGTGCCATGGACTAGACCTCAATATGCCCAATGCCCGTCCAAGAAAGACAGACGCGTTAAATTCAACCACCTCCCCGGGCCTTACTCAAAATTCGACTTTTTGACTGACGATCTGATCGCGAGCATGTGCGTGTATGCTCGAGGGCTACTTCCACTCTGGGAGCATCAAACATAAATAAATGTATGACAACAAACCCAGCCCGGTCTGGGACGTCCACGTCGAATCGAATGTAACATATTTATTTTCGATTTGACCACAATAACGAGCAGACGTGTATTTACTGCCTCGGAAACCCCACCAAGCATGGCATGCTCCCACGAAGGAAGCGGTACAACAAGAGCAACGACTCGAAATTCGCTGGAATGGGGAACTGACCTGGGTCAGCTGCAGGATAAGCGCTGTGGACGTGACAGCACCTGCACGAAACAATACCAATATCATAGGCGAAAATCACCCTCTCCTCGTTTTCTACGTAAGCATCAATATCAACAACCTGGGCGCGAATAAAAATTTCCTGGCGCCCAAGGTGAACACCACAAGCTAACGCCAGAAACATGCAATTCATATGGACGCAACTCTACTCCAATATTCGCGGCGAAGACTCAATTTGGCTACCAGCACTCGGTACTCCCGCACGATAATATGCAGCTGCTGTGAACTCCCGTACAATTCTGCTGTACTACATAGTCACATACGCAAGGGATATTTCAGATGCTCAACGTCCACAACTATCGCCAACTTAAGCGTTCCGCGATGACACTGACACCTTCATTATATACATGGCACTATGAAACAGACAGTCGACCTTCTCCGATCATCTCTCTCTCCTTCTCTCTCGCTCTCTCGCTCTCTCTCTCTCTCTCCCCCCTTATTCTTTCTTCTTGTACAAACGAACACCGGCGACAGGCAGCTAGCTAGTCGTGGGTTTAGCGCAGACACCACAAACTAGATAGAGGGCACTTGCACCGCATCCGGCTTTTAATGCGTCAACATCGACGATGATCATTGAACCATTATTTGCCGCGTGACGCGACGAAGTTGACCGTGAAGAACTCGATTCTGTGCAAGACCTCGCTCACCCAGACGGCAACTCGCACCTAAAAAAGAGAGGGGTCGCCCAGAAGCAGCGGTATGAAGCAGAGGGAGAGAAGCAGCATCACCACCGACCAGAATACAGCAAACGCAGCGGACGTGGCGACCGTAGAAAAATCACACGCGATACGTTAAATTTCAGTACGCAACACCGAGCAGGCACAACCAACAGCAGTTTAGCTTGCGAACAAACAACTACTTCCTCTACGTTACCGTTATTCCCATCTACCCATCAAAAAAGAAAAACAGTCAACAAGCGCCCGTTTGCGCCAGACGCTGCATTTGACCAGGGCCAAAGTGGTACGGCAATCGTGCCCAGCTCGCACACAAATGGTTTGAAATTTTGCACGGCTCATCAAAATCGTTCCAGGATTGACGAACATTTCGTGCAAGTTGTGTGGTTTCAAGAGGTTGATGAACCTTACGAATCCGACATACCGCGAACTTTGGAGAGACCCCAAAAGAAAACACTAGAAAACTCACCAAAGGTTCCACTAGTCCCACTACTCCAGGTCCCACCACTAGGGGATGAAAGCCAGTAACGCTTGCGGTGTGCAGAGTGTGTCGGTGGTAATAAAATCCCAGCACCGTCAAGCCAGCTTGGATCATGCCGCTCCATGGCGTGTGCACTGCCGTCATGAGACCAAGTTTCCTATGTACCAATGCGGGAGGCCGGGGGGGGGGGGAGTCGAACATTGGTTTTGCGGTGCCGTTGATCATGACGCAGAGACTCGGGAAGGGGAGGGAGGGTCTGTGGTAACTTCTCATCCACTCCATAGTCTCTTCTTCACCGGTCTGGGTTTTGAAAAGATATTCGTGCAAACAACACACTAATCCAAACCCCAGCCCTGACGTTTCTAACGCTACAATCGTGGTTCCTTTTCCGTTCTTTCTCCCTCCCTTTCGGTGTTGTACCCGGGCGTCTTGTTCTCCCGGATTTGTTTGCTGCAGGTTCGCTCGCCTTTGGAGGTTCTTGTACTTGGGGTAGTGACCACGGGCTTCATTTCGTGACGAGAGTTTTCAACACCGACAACGATGCCAAGTTTTTCAGAGTTGAAAAGGTCGAACACAAGCGTTCCGGGCATAGTCATCCCCAAGCTCGTGTTTTCTCTCTCTAGGTGTATCAACGTACAAATCAACGAGAACGAGAGCGTACTCCCAGAAGGTGAAGCACCCAATTTGTTTGTCAATGCGGTACTCTGTAGTTTCGGGCTGTTCAGAACACTCGCGCGAAAAACCGGCCGGTGCTTACGTGAGTGGTTCTCTCTGTTTGGAGGGATTCCAAGTGGCTTGCTGACTCTGTCGATTGACAACGTGCTAACGCACGCGGCATTTCCCTTGAGACGTCAACATTGAGCGGAAACGCCCTTCCCCCTCGCCTAGGCAAGTGTGGGGGCTCAAGTCGAACACATGACGAATACGGCCATACAATCAGGGAAGCGTCAAGAAACACTGTACCTGCGTATGGGTTCTGCGGTCATGACGAGGTAGTCCGTCACGACGCGGGCACCGAAGTAGACCATGGCAGTCTGCCCCCAGTACAGCATCCGCATGAAAGACAAGCAGCGGTAGCACGACACAAAGCAGGGGAGGCGTGAAAACGTGAGGAAAGGCACGGGGGCGCGCTCATTGGCTGAGGGTTGTCCAGATGTTGAAGCCAGCTGTCCATCAAGCACCACCGTCCAGACGGGAGAGGCGGACTAAAAAGGGGCGGTGCGGGTGGAGACCTTAAGAGACAAGACAGAACTGGATAGGCATCGTTTCGTGCATATGTAGTGGCCTGTTTTCCGCAACCACCTGAAAGTAGCTCATGGGATCGATGTTCGACAGCATCAAAGCAATAGCGCAAATCAGCATGACAGTTTGAGAGACCTACGATAAAAGACTTGGGTGTGAGGAGGTCGGTGGGGATGAGGCCAATTCGTGCGGGGAAACCCATCATAGTCGGAGGCAAGCGAACACGGACAGCACCCTATACTTCCTGGAAACAGCACGGTGTGCCAACAGCTGAAAACACGTACCCAGCTCCATGAAACGCACAGTTATAGTGTGTCCCTTTACGTGTCGCTGTCCTTGTGACAGACATTGCCCTTGGCTTTGCTTTGCCAATGAGACAAACATCCCACCAACGCCATGTTGCACGGGCACGCACCAGCGGCAAATCGTATCACCTCAGGGTCAGTCAGAGAGCACCCGCTGCCAGTGAAGGACAGTCTACATCAGCTATTGGCTAATATGATAGCATTGAAGAGTAAAAACATTCGAAACACCGATGACGAGGCTGCACGATCGCAAACTTCAGAAAGGCTGGAAAGTAACGAAACAATTCCAGCGCAACACTTGGTATATGAACTTCTCTGAACGCGAAAAGTACGAAGTGAACTGACGCATGATCACCTTGAGGGCAAGAGGCGGATGGGCACGGATAACGGCGAACACCAGGGCGTAGCAGAAGATGTTCATTGCCAGGTTGTGTGGTCCGTCCATTGCGTTGGGGTTCCCCATGTACTGCGGTAGAAAGTGCCCGTCGAACGTCGAAAAAAGACAAGGATCATGAGAGCCACTAATGACAACAACAGCAGCTCCCGGAACGAGAAACCGAAGCAGCCGTAGTGGAATAAACAGGCAGTATCGATCTGCAGCTTGCATGTTGCGAGAGTGAAGAGCCCTTACTGAATTGCGAATGATGGGATGACCCCCTACACCAGCATGAAATCGTCATTATGCTATTCACACGAAAATATGCCGACCAAGAACACGCTGCGACACATAGAACCCAGCGAGCATGGACAGTAGGGGCAGTAAGAAGGGCAGATTGGATGTTGAGAACGCATCGCCTAGGATATCACACCCGATCTACATTGGAAAGACAAGCCAGTGTTCCGAGGAAGAGGGGTACCGGCATTTCCTCGCAAGCGAAAGAGACGAAACCGATTCGACACTTGTTACATCGTCCTTCGTTGGTACACGCATAAATCAGTGTAACACAACGCATGTAGCACCAAGGCTACGGCTCCACCACGACATACGACATGAACGACTGTATTCTTGGTATAGCTTGTGTAACAATATTGGGCACGGACCCATCTCCGCGCGAACCGCACGGTGCCTGCGCTGGCGGCAACGAGTTAAAAAATACGCACCCACATGCTTCAATGGTCAGTAGGATAACCTCCAAAATGAAACACAGACAGGTTGTGTCATTGAGACGAGCAGTTCGAGAGGTTCTGAAAATGGGAACGCAAACACAATAATGTTCCCGAAACTGAAGTTGTGGTTCTTCGGTGTCGGCGCCAGGCAGCGGCGACGGGCTTATCGGTTAGGATGTTCATGGCCACTGCCGTATTGAGTTCACTGGTTGGAAGGGGCTAATCGTTCCCAGGGTGACCACCAGGAAACTGGTTGTTTCCTTTTTGCCCCAGTTTGGCACGACGATGGCCCGGCACCGCAGCACTTAACAAAAGCAGACAAGAAAAAAACGCAGGTTTCTTACATCGCCAAGGGCACTCGCACACAACCACTACAACGAAAGCTGTTCACACCGCAGCAATAACTCCGCGTTTGGCTTTAACCTTCCACAAAGTCGAGGTATTTCTTCTGGGAAAAACGACCGCGCAGCAAGTGGAGCATAAGAAAGGGCTGCAATTCGTTACCGTGATTGCACGTTCGTGTGCACTTCTAACCGGAATCTCCGCTTCATCGTAGTAGGTGGTGAGATCCAGGCGGTACCCGATGGGGTCAAGCATGGGCCCGAATAGATCCAGCAAATGTGTCTACGATTGCGAACGCAGCAGCCGTCGATCGAACGGCGGTGGGGAAGCGAGAGAAAGGGAAGTTGGCGGACAAAGAGGAGTGACGGAGACAAGGGAACGGAGGGGGAGCTAGAGAAGACCAGACAGGGAACGAGGATGGAGAGACAGAGAGAGAGAGGAAACACTGCGAGCGCGTAAATCACACTCCATGAAACAACAACCACACACATCCACGCGTCACAATAAACAGCCCAAGAAAGAAGAAGGAACATACTGAACCCGGTGCAGCGTTCACCTTGAGTAGCGTGCCGACGTGTAGACCGAGAGCGATCTGCCCTGCCGTCTGGTAGGTCGAAGCCGTGAAGCTCGTGATGAGCCCGCTGTAAAGGCCGCGCAAGCTAGACCTTGCGTTGTCAGGGTCGACCGAGCTCTGTCCGCGTACAACAATGGATGCCAGATGTCATTTATTCGTTGCGGCGTTAAGTCTACCCAGTCGCGGTCACCACGTCAAACAGAGGTCCTGCGTATGGACATGCTATCGATTGACGGTCTGAGCCGCAACGCTATCAGCAGCAATACCTACGACCAACCACGAGGGCTAGAACAACAACGACGAAGACAACAACAGCTTGTCGAACTCGCCTTGACAGAAATCATGGAGCTGTTGATGGAGTTAATAGCCGCTTGCTCCTGTTTTATGGTAGTCAGCTCCTTGCTGTGGGAGAAAACGGGACCGCACAACGCCGAAGTCGGGAAAACACCAACGCGCAAGCAGGACGGAGAGCGTGTGCGGGGTACACTCGTTTGTCACATGCGAAAGCCTTAGCAACAGAAAAAATAAAATAAACCCGGAACCAACGGTAGAGTTGCGACGTTTCACTCCTCCACGATTTCCTTCGTCCTCTTGCACATGTGTACCTTCCTCGGCCTACTGTTGCTCTGCATTTCCACCAGAACAAGACTCACTGGTATTTCTTCATGAACTTGCGGGTGTCTTCCTTGGTGAGCTTCCGGCCGTGCGCGAGCAGCCGGTGCTTCTCGTCGATCATCCTCTGCCTCGCGGCCTGGATGCATTGTCCCCGAAAAGAAACAAGGGGTAATCATGCCTCTTTGCTCATCTCAAATTTTCTCAGGGCCGGTCTTGTCTTGAATCAACCGTGGCAGGCAAGGCCTCTCGGGTTTCCTTAGTTATCAGCTTTTCCGAGGCATACTACTTGTAGCGGCATTTTGCCGTGTTCGAGAAGAATACATAAAACAAGAACTCGATTTGTTCATATTTTTCCATTTTGTGGTCACCCTGAATATCGAAATAAGAAAGGAATCAATCGTTGATTTTACGATCTGCACCCAAAAAAACAAGGGCCGGGGGTTTTCTATTTGAAGTAATAGATGAGGTAAACGACGACAGAAAACGGTATGCCGGGAATTTGGGGTGACACAAAACAATGATACAGAAGGGAAGGACTCGGGAATCGACCCCGAGCCTCTACGCTGCTTGACTAAGACCACCGAGCACCGTTTTCTGGCGGCCAGACGGAGACCACCACGACCAGGCTTCTCTGATCGGTTTGCACCGTTTTTCTTTTCGTACTAAATACCGCACGACATAACTCTCGAAAAAAGACCATTCGGCTTGATGCGGCTGCTGTCGGAAGTGCCAACGCGCTCACCATGTGCGGAATATACACCAATCTTGGACTCGGACCCAATCGACCATTTCAGCAGATCCAACAAACCATGGCGAAGATCCGAATGCCAACAACATGAATACTTTAGGCTAGAATAGACTGCTGTTAGTTCGAGGGCAATACATTCCACAGTAGCAGAGAACACCACCAGAGTGGGATAGACATTTCGTTCTCCGAGGTGTGCATGCCTGAAATTCTTCAACCCACTACAATATCATAACATTACAGAAAACACCCGAACGTATGTAAGAACTTGTTATTTGGCAGAGGCTCGGTTCTTATTTCGTACGGTGTCTTATTACCCCAACAGCGTTTATATGGGTGTTAGTGAAAGCTTCTTGACTGAACACCTGGTCTTGCGGCCGAATTCAATTTTGACTTTTTGTTGAGCTTGGGTTTCTGAACTGCAGGCGCTACTGCATTCGATGTGGTGTATTCAGTATAGACCAATGTACTTGAGTAGGCTGCAACACACGACGTACACGTACTGATAGGGCCTACATATAGCATGGTGGTTGTGTGTATCATTTCTCCGACACTACGTATGTAGCACTCGATCGAGTAAAACACTGTGCCTTATATGGTACCAGGAGAGTGTTTATATTGAACTGTGGAAGCTAAAGACGATACAAGCCGAAAACTGACTCCATCTTTGGCGAAGGTCCGCGGAGACAACAATACGCTACAGCAGCACACGTGAGCCACACACACACCAGTGCCTCCATGATCGCTGCAATGCCGATTTACATTAACTCATTATAGTTCATTTACCATGGGGGTGTAGCTCAAATGGTAGAGCGGTTCATTAGCATTGAACAGGTAGGGAGATCGATGCTCTCCACCTCCACATTTTTTTTCCCAATTTCTTTTCTCCACATTTTTTTCTCGCTGATTTTTTTTTGTTGGTGTCTTCCCCTCCGTTAGTATCTTTCGTTGCTGGAATACGATGCAGTTTAGCTTGCTTTCAAGTTGCAATACAATATATTTATGGGTAGGCTTTGGGTTTCCGCCCCCGCTTGCTCCCCGCGCCCCCCCCCCTGTCCTCTCTCTCTTTCATTATATTTGTGCGCATTCATACCCCCCTATTTTTCTTTCCTTCTTGGGGCGCAATTTAGTTTTTAGAAAAAAGTTACGGCCCAAGTTAGGCTTTGGCGATTTCGCGAGAAGAAACTACCTGACGTCCGAAGAAATACATGTCATGTCCACGTCAAAACCGTTGATTTACTCTCAAGATGGTTTTTCCTCGCCATCGTACGACACAAGACCTTAATTTTCCCCGATATTTCCTGTCATGGAAAGCTGTCAGGTATCATTTCATTGGCGTGTAGGATTTTTATTTTCATTCCTTCGATGCCCAATTAATTCCTTTCGTTTCCCGGTCTAAACGAACCCCGAAGAAACGTGGAAAAGTCTTTGAGTTGGGCTTTTCTCATGCTCCTGTGTGTTTACACTGACACCATACCCCAACAGATTGCTGAGGGCGCCCGATGAACGAAATTTCGAGCTACACCCCTCCCGTGTGACCCTGGATGGTTGTAGCTGTACGAAAAAATACACAGAAAAGTGTAGTACTCTACGTACACTGAAGAGTGTAGTACACGTCTCCCCACAATAAATGGGGGGACTGTCGCCATAATAAATAGGGCGAAAACACACAAAAAAAACACACCCTTAAACAACCGACTTGTCTTCCACAAAATTGACTGTTGTTTTCGCTGTCGTCGTGGTTGGTGCTGTTGTTCAAACTACATTGTTCTGTACAATCATGCCACAGCAAACGCTACTCTATTTTCAAGACGACCTCAGCAAACCCGTTCTTTTAAGGCAACAAGTCCCCCAAAGGTGCCAATATAAAAGGTTGTGCTGGTTGATGTGCAGGGTCTGTAAACTTGTCGGCTTGGGCCGCTTTCTGCTGCCCGGTCCCCTTAAACTGTACCTTACTGAACAGAGCACATTCTACAATAAAGTTCGTCGACATCGACCAGGTTTTTCTCTACTGCATGTTCCTTGCAGCTTCTTCTGATTTGTTGTTCCCCAGGGAGGCTGGGCAATCCTGTACTACACTTGCACCAACAATGTTGACGACGCACCTTTAGCTTCTCCGCCTGAGCCGCTTTGTGCTCTCGGTCCCTCTTGGCCGATTCGGCTGCGGCTGCGGCTTCTCGGATGGACTGTCTAGCCTTTCGGTACTTGGCTGCAAGCTTCCCCGACGAGACCTGCACCTTTGTGGCGTTGATGCGACGGAACGGAAACATTCACGAGCAACACCGCACATAATAGCAGAGCGAGGGGGGGGAGCATTTGTTCCATCGCACCTACGCCTAGCAAAAAGGAGGCACCATTGAAGGACGCACTCAACAAGGTGCAGGCGGCTTGACTGCTAGGGCAGAGTCGATCAAGTCGAAGGAAATCATTCATAACGCGAAAGAAAAAAAACACACGCATTGCCGTAACCCATGTTGCTTACAAGCTTCATGTTGTTCCCCGCCCACAAAAACAAGGAAAGGAACGCCCGGGGCGGGGAGGACAGAGGCTACAGACCATAAGCTGTCCGTTCTCTCCCATCTCCTCAACTCCGAGGTAGAACTCAGTGCAAAATACCTGCTTGAAGCCCGAGATGCGGAATACGATAACGTGGAACGCGAAGGTGCGGAAGGCCATTCCGTAGAACAGGAGGGACAGCCCGAATCCGAGCCGCGTCAGGTGGAGGGCCGGCTTTCCGACCATTTGCAGCCGTCTTCCCAAGCTGCCCAAAATATCCTCAACCTTACAGCATGAAGCGCGTTCGCATTGGGTTAAGAGGATGAGTTGGGGTGAGCATGACCAAAAAAATTCCATGTTGAACACCTGACCGCATCTGTAAGGATAACCATACAATTTGCAATGTCACGCCCGGTCTGCATCGTTCTTGGCGGAGCTGCTTCGGGATGCATACTTCCACCCAAAGAAAATCATTGCTGGAGAGCGGATATGGGAAACTCTCCGTTCCGACACCCAGCTCCTCTTTTCTCCTCACGTTGTCCAAGAAAATTCTGTTTTTCTGCATCCCTCCGCTGAGGCTTTCCACAGCGGCAGCAGCACCAGCGGCAGCAACCTCCGAAGCGGCACCGGCAGCAGCACCAACGGCAGCACCATCCTCACCCTCGGTTGCCCCGCCCCCCCCCCTGAAGCATGCCGCGGCAGCGAACGCTGTTCCCAGCGGCCTTCTCAAAACCACGTGAAGATGGAAGGGGGGGGGGCGCAATAGTTGGCCGTGAATGAAACCGACGAAATAGGTCTGGAGGCTGACATACGCCCGAGGGAGTGTTCTGGGTTGTTCTTGTACATACTTCACGATTCACAGTTCCGATGGAAGTTATCCGTTCCGCGTTTCACTTCCGTTCCGCATTTCATTTCCGTCAACCAATAACTGTTTTTGTTTCTCGTGCTTGTCCTAGCGGCGGGTGGGTTTACCAAACCAGACACCCCTCCGGGCCACGTTTCCTCGAAAAAATATAAATAAAATATCAAGGGCCCGTGTGGCGGAAAGGTTGGTTTGAACACAGAAAACACGTACTCGGGTAGATTGGGGGCATCTCAATCTCGGCGCACGGCACTTGTGCATGTACGTCTTTCTTGGGAATAGTGATGGGCCACCCATGCGCCAGATCCTCATAAAACACAAGAAATGCGAAGCAGCTACATTTGTTTAGACTGCTGTATGCATTCATGAACATACAGGCAAGGGGGGGTAATGTAGTAGATCCCTCCTCTCTGCCCCCGTCACGATCATGGGCGCGTGATTTCTCTACGACGCCCTCTCCACTGTGGAGCATCTGATGTCCAAGTGATCGGAGTGGTGAATAGGCCACGGACCTGCGCCACATAAGTGCTATGCTTCTTTTGGGGTGTGAATTGGTGTGTGTATGGTTTTCAGCCAACGTGATACTCTCGACTGGACGCGCCAATGCCAATCGCGATGCTTGCAATCCTAAGGGTTATCGTGAATTTCGAGAAGATGTACCCCTTCGCCCCTCCCCCCCCTGGTCTTTATGTCCCAATCTACCAACCTCCCGGCATCCGCGTTGCGCATCCCCACACCACCGTGCTCGCTACCGGATACGTGGTCGCCGAGGTCATCGCCGTTGCCGCCTGCCTTTAGAGCACCAACAGCGCGAGCGTCGCTCTGGCAACTACTGTTCCCAATGCCGCAGCGGCGGGTGCTGCCGCTGCCGCCTCCGCTGCTGCCGACATTGACATGCCGAAACAAGCGAACAGGTGTCGTTCCTGAAGAGGGAGGAAACACGAAAGCAGAAGAAGCTGCCGTCGAAGCGGGCGCAGCCGCGTGTTGCTGCAAAGAAAAATCAGAGCCAAGGATTAATTGCGCACAAAAAACGTAGGGCGGGAAAACGGGGAGAGTGAGCGGCCGGTGGAGAACGCAAGATTGACGAAACAATTGCTTCTCACTCGCGTACGACATCGATCTTACGGCTTTGCCATGAGCGCTTGGTCTTTTCGAAAGTGGGAATTAGACAAATACCGTAAATTTATCAGTTGCGCCGTAGGTTGGCGGAAAACATTACAAGGTTATCAGGCATACACGATAAAATCAGCATGCTGAGTCGACGTGGGGGAAACAACGCAGGAGGAGCGGTAGCAGGCAAGGGAAGGGTGTGTCGCCAAAATTTAGGCGCTGCTACCAACTGGAAACTTGTGCTGGTGGGACCTCTGCTTCGTTTGTCATAATTCCATTTGCTGCTTGGAAGTCTAGCACAAGACTGCGGCTTGCCGGGAAACCAGAACGGAGACTCACGCGCGATATACCGTACAGCTGGATTCTGCTGCATCCGAGTGTGCGACACGGTTGGACGTTGCACGGAAAACACTCTGCCCCACTTCTGGTCTCCGATTGTCTCGGTGTCAAATTGTAACACCCATGCCAACACCCGACGTTTATCGAAAAAGCAGGCGCACGCGTGATATCCCGTCGCTGCAATTCAAAGGCACATGGGCATGTCAACTTACGAGGCATCGATCGGCAAGATGGCACCCATCGGATAGATCGCACCGGGGTGTGGAAGAACAAGCAAGAACGGCATGATGCATTTCGATCCCCATACCGATATCGGTGAGATCGCATTCTCATGAGTGCTCGGCAGGTGTCCCCGAGCCACTTTTCGAGCTGCTGCAAAAAGGTTTCCCTCCACTCACTGTAAAGACTCCAGCACGTCCCTTTCGACTGGGCTTATATTTCGCACGGGAAGACTTTTGTGAGATGTTGTACTTTCTAAAAACCTGGGTACCTTCGACATGTGGGGAGGATACCAGCGACAGAGGGATTCTCGCAATGAGTGTTTCGCCGCCTTTTCCGGGTCGTCGACATACATGGTCATTGTACGGTATGTGGCCGGCGCATCGACCGGCGCTATTCAATGTACAGAATGACTTGGTGATTCACTCTTCGCCCAGCAATTCCACCGGCGCCCATACAGGGCCACCGGCGCTATTCAAACGGCGCTATTGACGCCCCTCCAGTACTCTATCTAGACCGTGCGCTGGAACAAACAAGCCGCTGTGCTGGCATCCAGTATCGCCGCTGTCGGGGTCGTCACATTGAGGTTCCTTTTGCATTGAGGTTCCTTTTGCAGCACTGCCGTAGCGCCGGTAAGGCCACCGTGCTCATATATGCATCGCACCTATCAGAGAGATCGCATGCTTCGTGCAACTCATCTTTGCCAGACAGCGAGAGTCGTCGCAACGGATGTTGTATTGTTGGTATTGTACCGATCAACAGGTTAATTCCGCCGCTCCTTGGAGGAGAAGTGCAGCAGCAGTACCACAAAGATCAATCAGATGCGTTATCAGCGGCAGAAATCAAGCTACGGTGAGCTGCCACACACCTTTTGAGCCAAACCACCGAGGGACGTCAGTATTAGCGTCGCGAACAGCATCCAAATCCCTCCGAACAGCATGTTTGACGCAATTTCAAATCCCTCCCAAATCTCCGAGATCTCCCTCTCGGCTCCTCGGCAATAAGTCAGCAGGTCCAATTGCACAGAACGTGTCCAGTCGTGCACAACTACCCCCAGGTGAGCGAAGACAACAACCTCGTTTGGCAGAGGCGCCTGCCAAATATGTGGCACAGCAGCAGCAGCTGCTGCAGCAGCAGCTCTGCTACCTACGCACGTACGGGCGGCGGGACAAACAGGGGAACAAGAGAAACGGCGCTTCGCGATGTACGCTATGTACACGGAACACCCTTGAACCGTAACGAGTCCGGCCGTTTCGTTCGTACGAAGTTCAAAGCGTAGACACATTGGTACCGCGTTGTAACGTCAAACACGAGATACAAAAAATGCTAATTTTTAGAAATCTAGAAAATATGGGAGGGTACCTATCGACCCTTCACCGCCCGGGATCGCACCGTTGAATCACCTGTGTACGTACACGACAGACAGAGTTCGCAGCCGCGAAGAACAAGCAAGCAGTCTACGAATGCATACATCGACACAAACACGCCTTCCGCGTTCATGCGTAGCCGCTTTTCCTCTGGTAGAGAGATGTGACACCGGCAGACAGCTTCGCGACTGCTATGCATATCACGTGCAAACTCCACCTCCACAGGCGGCGCGCCCAACAGAAAGCGCGAAAGGTAGAGTGCGTGGTCACGCACGACGGCACAATCCCAAGCGGCACCAGATGCACCCGACTTGCGTGTCTGAGGTATGTGGGCAACCGGGAAGTTAACCCCACCACAAATGATTTTGAATTCCGAAAATGAAACGCGCAGCTTGCTGAGAGGGAGCGACAGAGTGTATCCGCTTTGCCCGCTGCCCTCGCACGCTTCCACAGCAGCCGGACCACGCGTTGTGGACTTTGAAGTCTTGCGGCTGCGTGAGTTCATAGAAACTGTTCATTTTGGGTTTGGTGGCGCACGCCCAGAAAGCACTGGGGGCAAGCGGCCTTCAGCAGGAACAACAAGCAGCAGGCACACGAAAGGCCCAGGGCCCCAACGGCCCCAACGGCAAACAAGAAAACAACCAGGACCAACGTGCAATAAGGGCGTGCGGCGTGCGTGCTGTCGCTTAGGTGCCCCAAGATCCAGGTGTGCCTGCCGCATGTGTGTTTCACTACATATGGCATTACTCACACTTGCATGAGGTCTGTGTATTGCCAGCGGGGTTTGCTCCTGTGGACAGCCAAGGTGCCAAAACATCGTACTACTGACTGCATGTACATGTATGTCACACGTCTCGTTGTATCTATGCATGTCACATGCATGTCACACGTCTCACATCTTTTTCCCGCCTTCTCAGGGCATTTTCCCACGGAATCGCCATTTCCTCAAGAAAAAAATTGTTGCGCGTATTGCCAACAGCAGGAGAGACTCTGCCTGTTCGCCTCCACATGTATTCTGGTGCCGCCCTGCTCGCACCACCAGGCATCGCACATCATGTGTAGTCTAGACTATGCTATGGACTTCAAAATATTCAACCCTAGGTGTGGGTCCTTATCCGATTTTGAATGCGTACAGCAGTATGTAGTCCATATAGCCGTTGACCACGACACGAGTCGTGCGCCGCCCTATATTCACGCTGGTGGGATCGCATGCCAGGTTGTGTTGGTCGGGATGGTGCAGAATTTGCCACGTGCACCATATACGTGTCTGCGTCGACTTCACTTTAGACAACTACTGCGAAAAAGGGATGCCGGACGATCTGAGGTTGAGATATACGAACCGAAAGTTTCATGGCGAAGGGCTCGCGGTATTACAGTACATTGTAGTCCCACCCGATGGGCATATGGGGGATGTGTGAGTGCTGATCCGTTGCCCTCCTCAAGCATGACACGGCAAGGTTGTGGTGTTCTTCCCTCACCAGTAACCGCTAATAATTGAAGCGCACCATAGACATTTTCCAGAGCAACCCCCCTCGTTTGGCGGTCCCCGGAGTTTTCTTGCTAATTTCTTTGAAAATGCTTTTGGTCGTTTCGAAGTTTTGACTGCCAGACACCCTTCGCTGTCTGTCACAAGACGACACAAGAAGCTACAGAGAACTACATGGATATCTTGACGCATTCGTACAGCGCCGCCTACGCCCGTCGGCTCAACGAGAACCGGAACAATACAAAAGCACTTGCCTTGGCGACATTAACAGATGCACCCCCCAGTCCCCCTATTTGGTGCACCTTCACGGGCCTCCATCCGTGGGATTCGATGAAAGATGTCGTGTTGGATCCTATATTGTCAACGGGAATGATACACGTTTCGCACAACGCGCATTGATATATTTGTGCTGAACCGAGAGGTATACTTTATTGTGTCTGTCTATTGTCTTTTGTAGCAGCGGGACTCCTCGTAGAAGAATAAAACATCCCAACCTCACGACATGGATTTCTTCATGGACGTTTCTGAGTTTTTTCTCTGAAGCGAACGGAAACAAGTTCCGGTCTGCGGTCTTCTTGTTCGTACCGAAGACCACCCGCCTTCCACGGCTACTATGACGAGTTGTTTTTTTGAGAAACTCACGCTGGTATCCTCCCCGATTGTCCCCGATTGTTGTTCTCGCGGACTGGATCTCGGCAACAACTTCGGCGAGTAGACTCAGCAGCAGCCGAGATTTGCTGCCGTTGAGAATCCACGATGAAGCATCCACGGCGGTGCCTGGCGTTGCCGATGGCGGCAGTTCTGCTTGCTCCTGTCTGCCACGGTGGGTGCCATGTAGCCCACATGTTTCAATAGCAACAACGTGGTTTTTTTACAGCGGGGCGGAATGCGCCAGGCTCCTGCGCTAGGTTCTTTTTTTGTCGAGATGCCCACAACATATCTCCCCTCCAATCCCCAGATCAGATGTTGGCGCCGCGTGGGGTCGCAGTTCGCACCAGAAGTGTGGACAAGACGAGGTCCACCACCATGACTTGCAAAAGGCTAGTAGCTCACTCCACAGCGCCGGTGTTACATAATCGCCTTGCCACGCCGTTATTGCTCTCTGAAGGGCGATCTCCTGGCGTAGATCGACTGGAAGGTGGAAGATGGTTCGAAGCTTTTTACAGCCCAACATTCGTGGCGCAGATAATCCGCATGCGTATTGCAAGCAGTGTCTGGGCTGAACGATAAACCTTGATGGTGTTGGCAGGCGATCTCGAACAGGACCGCGAGGTTCTCATCACGCTGTACAACGCGACGGGCGGGCCCAATTGGAATTACAACGACGGTTGGGCCACGGATGACAGCGACATGACCTCCTGGTACGGGCTCTCCATCAACGAGACAAGGTCGTATGTCTCGAGCATCTCCCTGATTAGAAACAATTTGCAAGGTAAGTCCTATACCGTTGGTCTCTGGCGAGTTTTGATCCAAAGGCGGGAGAGACGTTCTTGCGTCGACGAACGTGCGTGCGTCTGCGCGGCTCCAATGTGCGGCGACTCCGTCGTGCCTAGTGTTTCATTTCGCAGACTAACCTACCCATCCCACCCAACCACGAACGACTTCACAGTTCCGAATCTGGGCAATGCTGCCTGCGCGTTGTGTTTAAGCCTGCCCTTCTTGCTCTGGAAGATGTGTAACAAACGATACGGCCTCCCCGTGCTGCTAGTCGAACCGGCTACCGTGAATAGTATCCGGCTGACCCGCCACCTCACGCACCAGCCGCGTTTTGTGGAACATAACCGTTATTGCGTCAACGGCCGACCGATGATTCCACTGCACTGACGTTCCTCCCGTTCTTGCTGTCCCGCAAGGTGACCTTCCGCCAGAACTCGGCAACCTGACTGCGGTAGAAGACATCTACCTGGGAATCAATTCTCTCACAGGTGTGTCGATCTGTGTGTGCGAGCAGCGGATTTCTCATGATCAGGAACGCGTACTATTGTCACGATGTTTCGCCAATGAAACCATCAGCAACGAATAAGGTTCGCTGGAATATTAGATAGTACTCTTGTTTGGTGATGAACGTCAGGCGTCTGGCGGAAGTCAAGACCACCATTCCAACGGTGTGAAGACTCGTGCATGTTGGGTAAAGCAGAGTGAGAACACGGGGATCAAAAGGACAAACGAAGCACGAGACGTGTGCAGTTCTACTAGCTTCATCCGCCTGGTGCGTTTTATAGAAAACGACTGGCACAGCAGTTGCTGTTTTGGCGGCTTCATCAAGTCGAGCGATGAGCCTTTGCACGTCTTGTAACACCGTGCGGTTGAACTAATGCACCTCATGAGTAGGTTGGTCACCGTTCTCGGCGTCTTGATCTTCATATATGCGTATCGTTCTCGAGCTGCTGGATGTCGAAGTCGCCGGGCCATTTTGATGCACTCTGCGTGACGGTCATCACCGTCGTGATGTTGTTGTTGTTGTTGACATTTTGATGGCCAACATTGCTATCTATTTGGTCGGGGTCGGGGAACGAAATTCTGATAACGGCATAACATGACAAAATAACACGGGTCTTCACCAGTAGCTAGCGACCGCCGGCTTTGGTCTCAACCCGGCGGGGCACGCAGCGATAATAATCGACGGTATACCTGAGACGTTGAGTAATCAACTGGCATTTTCTTCCGCTGAGAGGGCGCAAAGCGAATGTTTTTTTGGCTGCGAGCACCTTAGGCTGAGCGCCGTCATGTCCTCTGCCTCTCAATTGTACGATCTGCTGTTGAGCGCTGTTGTAGAGGCGGTTTTGGTGTCAGTGCCAAGATGATTTTTCATGTTTTTATTTTTCAACACATCTCACATCGTGTTGGTGTTTGGGTTGTATCGGTGTTTTCTTATCCATGCATCGTCAAGGTGCCAGCGCTTTCCTTGAGTTTTTGTTTGCTTGGTCTTGGTTTATTTATCCCGCAGGTCCTATCCCTCCCGAGCTGGGGAAGTTGCAGAATCTGGAAATCCTGAACCTAGGCACAAACTTCTTAACCGGTGAGTTTAGTGCTACGTAGACTACATCCGGTGTTGCCACCCTGGGTGTGCGTTAGAGAGAAGGCACACCGTGCCCGAAATTTACGTATCGAAGACTGTACTGTCGCGTTGCGCTTATCGTTGGAACCCTTCGTGGGTCCGTCGAGGCAGATGCCGTACGCGCCATGTTTTGCCGCGCCGTGTGCGTCATTTGGTCTTTTGCATGGATTAGATAACCGAGGTTCTATGGATATTGTCCATGGGTTTGGGAACGGTTTTATTGTTTTTTGGGTCAGATAGATCGCCTTGACGTGACTGCACGTTCAAGCGCCTCGTTTTCTTGGTGACAATGAGCCTAATTCCGACTGATCGTCTTCTCTGCTGACAATGACAGGCACTATCCCCAAAGAGTTAGCCGAACCGAAGTTTCTTTCTGAGCTGGTCCTTGGCGAAAACGAACTCGACGGTGAGAAGAAACGAACGCCGTGCGAGAGAATGCGACTCGATCGAGCGACTGGCGCGTTGCAGATCGGATGTGAAAATCCGGAGACGCAAATGATATCTATGTTGCCTCCCAGGCAAACCCTGAAACTCGCGGAATCGCGGTTGCCTTAGATGCCCCATGCGGTGTTAAGGTTTGGGGAACCCTCATCAATCTTCGTAGAGGACTTTGGGACGGGAACAAAACCTTCTCCGAAAACCTATTTTGGGTACGTACCAATGCGCAGTCCGGCGCTCAAGAGGAGCGCCGACTGCGTTCAGCCGATCAACCAGTACAGGGCCTCTCGTCAACAACGCGATAAAGCAAACATGGCTTCTATGTTGTCTTGACTACCCAGCACGATAGGCAGATGGATGCGTAGTTCTTGATGTTAATGCCGTTGTTGCTCTCTTAACAAAAAACGGCCAGGATTACCTCTTCCCCAAACCCCTTGTGACGACCTAGTCCAACCGAGAAACAACATATTCGGTGATTGACAGGCGAGATACCTCCACAGCTCGGGAATCTGGAAGAGTTGCAGGCGCTCACCCTGCAGGACAATCAACTCACCGGTATGATGCTCGATGTTGTGCTTGTCGCGATGTTGTTTTTGTTTGGTTGGGTTGTTGAAAGCAAAGCGTGACGAAATCTCGCCGTATCATGGTGTTGGTACACGCTCTACGTTCCAATGTTTCGTTCGTCTACTGGTTCGGCGTTTTTTTATTTTGATTTCTTCGAATTTCCCAACAATGAATTGAGTGTGGGCATAATGCTACCAATGACGGGAACGTTCCCTATGGGTAGTGACTCAAGCGATTTGTGAGGAACGCTGCAGCTGATTCTCCGGCAAAGAAACTCACCAAACGCAGCGTTGCTTTCGGCGCTCGACTTTAGCGTCAAGCCTAAATGATGAAGTGCGGGTATGCGTGATTAGGATACTTTGAACCCCCACGCTTACGCTCTTACCTCCCGTTCGCTCTCTTGACAATACCTGCTGCTCTCGCTCACATCTCTGCAGGGGAAATCCCTGTCTCCCTGGGGAATCTTTCATGGTTGCGGACCCTTAGTTTGTCGGACAACCTTCTCACAGGTGGGTTTGGGTGTATCGCGCGGTAGATGGAATAAATGACGACAGGATCAAAACATTTCGGTTGGTTTATGGGATACCAACATCAACTTATGGCGACATAACTGGAGTAAGTGAAGACGAGGACGACTCTTCCCCACCCCGCTGTTCTTGTCTTCCCCCTCCGTTTACTTGTGTGAAGACGAGAGCAACTCAATTGGTGAACAACAGAAACATCACGGGCTTGATGTGCTATGCACACTCGATTACCGGTATTCGTTGCGGGCGAAGCCATTGGTTTTCCTTCGTGAGCCACCCTTGAGAATGTCTGGCGTAGAAGGGCCACGAGCTCGCCAGCGTTCAGAGTTGAGATACAACGAAAGAGGAACGCTGTTGTTGCCATTTGCTGTTATTTCTGCTGCTGCTGCTGCTGCCGCTGCTGCTGCTGCTGCTGCTGCTGCTGCTGCTGCTGCTGCTGCTGCTGCTGTTGTTGCTGTTGTTTGTCGCTGCGTGTGTCAAATACCTCTCACGTTGTTGACACTGGTGTATTGCTTGTTTTGAATTATATGATGCTCGTTTTGCTGCCACCCTGCCCACTTGCAACCTAGGAGAAATCCCTGAGGGGATCGGCCAGCTAGTGGTCCGTGGAAGCCTCACTTGGTTTCTCTGGCTTCAAAACAACTACCTCACAGGTATTGTCTCGAGCACTCACCGAGCGATTTCGAAATGATTTGCCGTTTGCCATAGTACATATTTTCCCGTCAGTACTTGGCTCGTGGTTGTTAGGAGAAGGACAGCTTGTTGTCAGAAGCGCGGTAGAATGGGGTCTGTTCCACTCCCCACTTGGTAGTGAGGTCTTCTGTACGGGGTCTTGGGGAAGCGTACCTGGAGCCTGAAGCGCACAGGATCTCGCCGACAAACATGGGTTTGCACACAAAGGGACATGGTGAGTCTGGAAGACTGGTGCACAAGAAGGGACATGGTGAAGACTGGTGCTGGTGCTCGTATGATAGTACGTTCCGGCGCATGTAGGGCAGATGGATGCTCGATCCTTGAAAGTTATTACTCTTGGGAGAGTCGCCGTCACTTCGTGCACGCCTATGCTATCGACCCAGCTTCTTCCTTCTGCAACGCCCTTCTTTTATACCGCGGCTGTCAAGCACTGCTGCCGAACGATGACGTCAATCCTTTAACATCTCCATGGTTGTCGTTTTTTCATTTGAAATCGCCGACCATGAAGTAGCTATACCACCTGAAGCTCGTTTGTCGACGAGGCTGCATGGTTCGCGTTTTCGTGCAAAGGAGTGAAGAACGCTCATTGCACTATCGGTGCGTTAGCCTAGACAAGTGCTTATCCCGGCGTTTCGGCTTTCACGGTACGTCCCACGATAGCTTTCACAGTGATAAACTCCTCCATGTCCTGTCTTGGCGAACCAAGCCTTGTAGCGCAAGACCCAGCCGAGGGGGCAAACATGGACTTAAAGTACCACACCGCTGGGGGTATAAATGGTGGTGCCGGATAGTCACTTTTCCTAGAGCCGAGTTGACACATCTCCACGACAAAATGCATGATGCATTCTGCATCCCTAGTCCTGCCTCGAGACCTTCACAGGATGTGTGAAAACCATCACCTGACACCTAGGACGACGTGGTGTCTTGGTGTGTACGTCGTGAAATCACGTATCACCGCTACGTGTTACATGACACTTTTTTTCGCAAGTGAAATTCAAAACATGACCCGACCCTAGGACAACGTCTTGTGGCATAGATCCTCACACCACGTACATATCTGTGTTACAACGAATTGCTGCACGTTAATGTTCAGGAGAAGTACCGGAAGACATTCCGTACTACACGCCGACCGAGCTGGATAGTTCGACCACCTACATCCTAAATGCCGATTTGACCGGAAACCTGCTCACGGACTGGCCGGACCAGAGAGAGGGTGAGGACCGTTGAGGGGTTGCCTCTCGCAGCACGTCAAGACAGCAGCTGTTTATCAACGTGGCAGCAGTTGTGAAACATAGCACGGCAGTTGCCTTCTTGCATTTCAGTCTACTCCCCTTACCGAGAATGATTACAGTCCCATGCCGTGAGCAACGTATTTCAACTATGCCCAGCCGACCACTCACACAGACGTTGCGACGCCTGTGTCTCCTTCCTCCATCTGCCGTAGAGGGTGCGACGGCACCACCACTGACGTCATCGACGGCAGATGGATCCGTGGGCGTTGGAAACACCACAAGCAGCGGTAGCTACAGCAGCAGCGACAGGGGCGTTGGGAGCAGCAGCGGTACCCCCCCATCGCAATCACCATCGATGTCGCCTTCTGCTTCTGGAGATGACGACGTAGTTGTTGCGGCGACGTCATCTTCATCTTCAACGACGGTGATAGCGGGGATCACGGCGGGGGTGGTCGTGGGCGCGGTGATACTAGCCGGGGCGCTCATCTTCTGCTTCATGCAACGGAGGAAGAATAGCAAGGACAGTAGCCGTGATGCGGTGGCGTCTAGCGCGCACAAGTTCCCGCCGGCGTCGCCGTCGGCTCCTGCGGGCAAGGGGCTCTTGCCTCTGTCCGGCGCGCTCGGCGACACCTACGGCGACGGAGACGAGGAGAAAGCCTCTTACTCGTGGACGAGAGGAGACGGCGGCATGAATGGCGACAACGGCGGCAGAAGCGGAGGCGGCTCTTCCTTTTCACCAGGACCGCTCTTGACGACTGGGGCTGCGGCTCGCCTTCGCGCGTCCGCCTCCTCGTTCTCGGCCCTGAATGTCAAGAAAAATAGCAACGATCGTGACGTCACTGATGCTCTTCCAACGGCTTCCGCTTCGGCCACCGCCAGTGCCGTTAACGGTGGCAGCTCCGGCGTCACCAATGGAAAGAACGGCGTCTCCTTGACCGAGTCTACTGTACAACAGTCTGCCTCGGGCAGTGTTGCGGAGGGGGTCGGCACGACGGCGCTAGAGATGGCGACGGCGGCCTTGGCCAGCGCGGAGGCGTTGGCGCAGCAGTCATTCTTCCCTGGGGTGAGCAAGACGATGAACGCAATGCATTACCAGTAGTCGTTGGTCGTTCGTTTTTGTTGTTGTTGTTGCTGTTGCTACTGCTGCTGCTGTTGATGGTGGTGGTGGTGGTGCTGCTGCTGTTGCCGCTACAGCTTTTGCTGTCAGTATCGTTGAAGTTGGTCTAAAGCAATACCCTACTGATGCCCTACACTGGGTGAAGTAAAAGTACCGAGAGAACCTCAGCATAGCTGTACCTGATACTGACAACCTCTGTCATGTCGATCGTTTCCTGTTGGTTCGTTGGTGTTGCTTTGGTTGCACTCTCTGAAAGGTAAGGGAGGCTGCTTCTGTTGTGGCCGGGCTGGTGAGACTAGCGTCGGATCACAAAAGCAACGGCAGGGAGTCGGAGAAAAGGGCGAGGTGGTGCCGATCTATCGTGCACACTCTGGAGCGAGCCGGGGAGGTTCTGGCAAAGGTACGGACAACTCGGGGGGTGGGGGGCACTGTTTCCCATTTTATCTTCGATTTACCGTTCTATCGCATCCTCTGCTGTACCCCCCTCCCTCCCATCAAGATACAGGGAGATGTTTGAGGCATGGAATAGCCGGGAGAAGACGGTAGCTGTACTGGGGCATGGGAAATGGGTTGAAAAGGCGGGAAGTGATATCGACAGGATAACATTTATGAGCCACCTTTGGCAAAGAAGAAAGGATGGATTGATCATCGGTAATCGGTCCTGTGAGCTCATGGTTCGTCCTCTCGAGGACACGGGTCAATGGTCTCACCGCACAGGCATGCAAAACATAAGAGTACGCCCCCCCCCCTCCTTCCATCCTCGTTGCTTGGGTATCTCTCGATTTATTCGCGCGTGCTGTTGGCACTCTATCTTCGCTTGTGGTTGTCTTTCGCTCTCTCTGATTGATTGGCTATGTACACCGTTCCTGCGCCTTTCCCGAAAATCTGAACGGAGGTCACTGTAAAATGAATCGTTGCACCCTGTGCCTCATTCTAGGCAGCATTCATGGTCCCTGTTTTTGTTAAAGGCGCAACGGAGACGCAGTGCGACGTGGTGGACACAATCCTTTCCGATTTTGATGTATCGTTGTCGTGTCTGACGTTTCCCTTCCTTGTTTCGAAGTTCATTTTTTATGTAACACCCACCTCACTATGCTGCGAAAACCGTTGGACTCCCCAAACGCCCTTGGGCGAAGCATTGCATACCCCCGCAATCCACCGTATATCATATTGTTCAACCTGTCCGCGCTTCGTCGGGTCGTCCGTTTTAGAAGGTGAAGGCAGGAAGGGGGGATGATCAGGCTGTGCGTGTTCTCCTCGACGATGTCCAGGACTCCATCGCCGACTTGCTGCAGATTATTGAGTCTTACAAGAGCAAGAACGCCCTGTCCAAGGTATTCGTGTCCTCCCTTTGCAAGAAACGTCAGGAGGAGGCAGAAGTCGCCATTAACGCTGCCGTGCAGCGGCTTCAGGTACGAGAGGAGCAGGTGTTTCTGTTTCTGTTTGCTGTTTTAGTTAGGGTATCGTCTCGTCTAGTTAGCGATCCTTTTCGCTGTTTAGTTCCGTCAGTTGTTCGCTACAGCGGAGCTTTCCTTGGGCCCAGTCCTTCGACTCATCGTCAGTGGAGGCTCTCGAATCGTGGCCATACGTCGCCACCGCTACCGCAACTTTCCTTAGACGCGAACAGACGCCTGTTTCAGGCGGCTACACATATGGGTAGTGTACCGCTATGATCCTCCTGACGCTCTGTTGTTGCTAGGGTAGACTGCTTGTTTGGCACGGCATGCTCTCTAAGAGTATCCCATGTGTCCGGAAGGGTCATCAGATAGTTCATTCTCTGACGGGGACTACTGTAGAGTTCGGAAAAAAACTATTCAGATTAGCAACACCGCTGGTTCGTGCTCTCCAAGACATACTCCAACAAACCAACCCGTACAATTTCAACGCATCCTTGTTCATTGTTCCCCTATGCCCGGACCTGTGCACGATGACATATATCGTTCAGCTTGGTCTGCAAGTTCGCGTGGGTCAGGACCTGGCGTCCGTGGGAGAGGCGGTACAGGAAGGCCTCAACCTTCACCAACGCGCTTCCGAGGTAAGCTCTCTCGGGCATATAGAAGATCCACCAACGCATTTTTTTGGGAGGAAGCTCGCCTCTCCTCGGCGTTGCTGCCGACTACTGCAGGCAGCATTTCGTCGGTTTTCCAACAATGACTGCGTTATGTGATTGCCAAACCTCTGGGCTACAGATGGATTACCAGCAGAAGACATTGGCGACCTCGCTGCCAACGCACCGAAGACCGAACCAAGAAAGTGCTTCCTCTACCCCGCACGCCAATACCGACATTAATCGCCTTCGGATGGCGAATTGTCGGTGCAAGCACTTGTGTATGGCTCCGTTTGGGATAGACGATGGAAATGGCAGGCCAGCCGGGAAGGTGGAAACGTAGAGAGACCCTAGCTGATGGAGGTATCGAAGTTGTCCAGTAGAGGCGAACATATGGTTCAACACTCAACTACCGAAACAATTGTTTGCAACAAAGAGGCTTGGGTATAATACGTCTTCCGGGACGACGTACAGGCACCACCACCGTCTCGACAAGCTGAAGGTTGGAATTCCGTTTGGATGCAATATTATCTTGGTCTAGATGAGTGAGTTTGGAAAGGTTGCGAGCAGGAAAGACGTTTGAGCCACAACACCAACCCTACCCCCTGTTTGCTGTTGCAACAGGAGTCTGGGATGGTGTCGAAGAAGAAACGCAGGCAGCACCGCATGGATCAGCTGGAAATCCCCGCGTCGGACGTGGAAGTCACGAACGAAGTGCTGGGCAGGGGCGGATTCGGCACGGTTTATCTGGCCGACCTGCATGGCCTCAACGCCGCGGCCAAGGTGGTGGTCTTCGAAGATGAGGAGGAAGACGATGATGAACACGATTGCACTGACTCTGTTTCCAATGGCACCGACGGTGTCCTCGACGGCAGTCGTGGTGTTCTCGATAGCTCCGCTAGTACCGGTTACGGAGAATCCCAAAGCCGATCAAAGCCCCAAACGAAGGCGGAGGCTGCGGCGATGGGACAGGGGCAGACGGAAAGCACCACGTCGCCCACCGACTTACAGCAGCAAGGGCTATCACGTGCGTCACAGCAGTCGCGGGAACACCAGCGGCAGCGGAGGATGTTCATGCGTGAGCTTGAAGCCATGAAGCGCCTGAGGGGACCTCACACGGTCACTATCTACGGTGCCGTGACCAGCCTTCCTGATCGCCTCGTCCTGGTGAGCAGCAATGGGCGATAGATCCATAATTTTCCCAGCGTCATATCGAAGACGAAGTTGCTGCCCGTTTGATGGCGTTCGGGATGTAGACCGTACGACCAGAAAATCACGTGTAGCTCTCCCGGGTACAGCTTGCGTTATGCATTGGTGGTTCTTGTCAAACGATGTTGGGGGTACCGTATTCTACGATGGGAGAAACTTTCGGTACGTAGAATCCATGGGATGACGTCGGTAGATTTGTCGCTTCTTGTGTCCTCTCGCGAGGCCTGGGAGTCTTCGTTACAGCCACAGATAACTTGTTGTTGCCGTGTTTCTGAGATGGCCGACACGTTTTTTTTGTTTTGGTGGTGCTTGCCTGCGCCGTGACTGTCCCACTTACGTAAACGAAACGTAGGTCATGGAGCTCCTGCAGGGCGGGGATCTACGCCATCGCCTGAAGAAGGCGAAAGAGCCGCTGGAAGAGAAGGTTTTGAGGAAGATCGTGAGGGACGTTTGCTGCGGGATGGCCTTCTTGCACGCCAAGGCGACCGTCCACGGCGACTTAAAGTCGGCGAACGTTCTGTTCGATGCCACGGGGAGGGCCAAGGTGCGTAACGTCTTTGTCCATGCGTTTATCATTTTCACGCCGGAGTACCACCGACACGTGCTTTGTTCATACCTTCCTCATTCGTTGAACTCCGACGGATACTTCCGAATTCATTCGTTTGTTGTTCCGACTCCGGTGACCACTCCATACTATTCGAACGAGCGACCAGTCGACCGTTTCGGCTGCTTTTTGCTTTTTCACCTCCAACTGTTGGTGTCTGAAGGCCGAGGCCGTTGAGTGTGTGAGCTCGAAGGTGTTGGGACCCAAAACCTCATAGCAAAGGTGTCGCTCCAGAACGGTGTGAATACGTGCTCATTTCGTCATTGTTGCCCTCCTCCCACATCTTTTCTGTGCTCTCTCCTGCTTCATCGGTAATCTAAAAAAAAGTTGAACCGTCTTGTTACTCGTACTCACTCACTTAGGTAGAGGATATATTCTTACGTGCTCCGTGTGTCAATGTACAAAATTGACTTCACATAGGGTTATTGATTTCGTTGTGGTGGCCCTGGCCCTGTCGTGCCTTCTGTTTTTCAGCGTGTCCTGAAATACAGAAGTTCTTATTCTTTCGCTGAGGGTGGGGATCTCTCGGCCGTTTTCTCTCTTTCGGTATTGTGCATACGTCCTTCGCGTCCGCTGCGCTAGCGCAACTTTAGGTCCTGTCATTCTCTGCGGAGATGGTCGAGGCCGAACACCACAGACATATACGGGGTACAGCTCTGCGCTTGGTCTCCTCGCGTGAAAAATGTAATTTTCTTTCCCATGTGGGGACCATGCGTGAGGCAAATATTGTTGCGTGATCTTGCTAAAACGTGTACTTTTTCTACTTGGAACGCGTGTCATGGAAGTCTAGAACGCAGCTCAATTGTCTGGGCAACATGAGACTGTGAAGTCCTCTGCCTATTCATGAACTGCCACCTTTCGCTGCGTTCATCCGCTTTGCGCAACACAGATTGCAGACTTTGGAACATCACTCTGGACGCAGCACACGACACGCCTGGCAACGTACACGACCAAACCGAGAGAAATGATCGGAATGAGTCTTCCGTGGGCTGCTCCTGAGGTAGGATACAGAAAGCAGAACGCGCTGATGAAGTGCAAGCCCGCGGTGAAGACAAAACCAAGCTTTGCTGCAAACACAAGAGTGTGCGGCAAACGTGCCCTTTACCGTCCAGTGTGTTGGCCCCGGAACACCAGAGAAAGCGGCGACACGCATAGAAACGGCTTGATGTGTGTCCGACTACGCAGCAAAGATTCGTTCGTGAAGGCCGGACTACGTCGTGTGATGGGTGTCGAAAAGGCCTTCGAGCAATTGCCTGTACAATTTTGTCCGGTTCGGCAAAAATGTGTTCAATATCTTGTTGATCGCGGGCAGTTGGGGCTCGGGGATACTTTCCGTGATCTTTACCTCAGCTTCTGTGAAATACGTCTGTCTGCAGGCCAAGGACCGCGTAGGCTCCCGACTGTCCAGATGGTGGTAGACCATGAAACATTGAATGGTTCCGTAAACGGAGCAATACCTTCCGCCATATGCGGCTGAGTCGAATGAAGCATGAAGCAAACCGTACAAGAATTTTCATGGCAATGGTGTTGAACGGTTTCGCAAGGTGTTGCACTCACTTTCTCGGATGTCCTGTCCTACGCCCTCCCCCGTTCTTGTCTCGCTCTTCTAGGTTTTGAATCGACGAGGTTCCAGCTTCAAGGGCGATGTGTACAGCTTTGGCGTGGTGGTGTGGGAGTGCCTGTCCCGCGAGGTTCCGTGGAAGGGGGTCGCCGGGGTGGACAAGCTCGTGCTGGCCGTAACTGCCGGAGAAAGACCACCCATCCCCGAAAACGCCCCCCACGACATCGCTACCCTGGCAGAAGCATGCTGGGTTCATGATCCGGCCGCTCGGCCAACGTTCAAGAAGGTTCTGGCTGATTTCAAGCTAGATTCCAGCAACAACGAAAGCGGCAGCAGCAGCAGCAGCAACAACAACAACAACACATCCCCCAGACCGCGTGAGGGGCAGGAAAATAGCGACGAGAAAATATAGGAGAAAATGTACGATTTGTTTTTGTTACTTACCACCGGAAACGGTGCGCATGTCACGGACGATCCTAGAGCGGGCGCGGTCACCTCACGTGGAGCCTATAGCGGTAGCGGCCTCACTTCCTAGAAAGACGAGAGTCGGGTTCCAGGCACTGAGCGTCCTCAGTTCGTGGAGTTGTCGTCGCTATTAAATCTAGGTGGTCGGTCCGTCCACATTCCAATTTCTTTCTTCGATTCGACTTGGGTTTAGGGTTGGGTAGGGGCTGGAAACAGGGATAGGGGTGCGTTTCGGGGACAGGGTTCAAACGAGAAGGGCACGGTTAGGCCTCGGAGGGCCCCTCATTTTCAACTGTTGAACACGACCATCTCGACCTTCGTCGATGGCGCTGCCGTGATCCTGAAGCCGCCAGCACTCCCTGCCCCGGGATGGAGAAGAACAACCTCGTTTTCACTCCCGTTCTGGGCAACTGGGCACGGCTTTCTAACGGCGCTGCGTCCTTTCCCGTGAAGGCGCGGCAGTGGCCCAGGGCTGCGCCGAGATTGCAAGCCCTGTCGCGCATAGATAGCCTGCGCCAAGCGCCCCAGTGAGCCCCTGCAATGGCGAGGACTTTGATTCCTTTCGCCACGGCACGCTCGAACAGAGGGCTTAGTCGCGCCCGCTAGCGGTCAGCTCTGTCACATACTCACAGAAGAAGTTGCTGTTCTGGCGATCATGTTGAAAAACCAACGTCCCCAAGATTCAGATCGCTTTATCCCCATGGGTGCATAAAGTGGCGACAGCGATCCTCTCGCGGTGTGAGCGCGCGATGTTGTGTGCGTGTGTCTTGTGTGCGGATGCATGCGTCGTGGACAGGATACCAGCACGCATGTGAACAAGACTGCGATGTAAAACATGAACGCCGGGGCTCCGTGCATCGTAACAGGCACAAACCGCACGTACCCTCATTTCCTGCGATGCTTTGCTGCCCAACCGACAAGGGCACAGCTTTCTTGCAGCTCCTGCTCTCTCCACTCAACCAACAACATGAGACGAGGACCGCGAAGAGCCGTGCGTGCTCCCCTCTTTGCGCTCTCGCTAGCTCTGCATGCCAATCTTACCTCATCATTGTTGCACCACCTACTGGCAACGCCAGTAGGAGATGCGATTTCAAGGAATCACGCAACGGCGACCGCCGCTGCTGCAGGAACGGCGGCAGGAAGAAGAAGGAGAGCACGACCACGGCCTGTGTGGCACTTCCATGGCAACGTTTCTCCATCAGGGCGTGGGCAATCCAGTAGATCTCCAAGATGCGGCGTTAGAAGCGGTCCGGAGGTAGCAGCTGCAGCAGCGGCTGACGGCGAAAATGGAGGGCCGGATGCTGCGGCTGCGGAGGGCCGTAATGTGGGAGCGCGTCCTGCGATGGTAGACCCCCCACCTCTGACCCACGACCAGCTTCCTGAGGAGAGCATTTATCTGCTTGATGGGACCTCCATGCTGTTCAGGGCGTTCTACGGCCGCGGAGCCGGCGGGTGAGTCCTACTGGCCAAGTATAGCACTGCGCAGTGCGGAGTTTCTCAACGGATACGTAGTACTTTCAGCGTGCCCCCCGTTTACACATATTTGCCAGATTGCACACGATGCGATGTACGGAACAACCATGGTGATGAAGATCATTGCTATCACCCGTGGAGACACCACCCTTGTGTGCGTATGCTTTTTGTAACATTGGCATACTTGGTAGCGTGTGATGCAGAAGAACCGCAGTAGTTTACTATACTATCGTCGACAGCGTACATGCACCCGGAAATCTGAGGTGGCAGACCGCCGTAGTACCTCCAATTCCTCTGTTCCTTTGGGATATCGTCGCTCTCAGAGTGTTCCTGCCGTATGGGTTTGCATCTCCGACTCCAGAGCTTCGCTGCGCTCCCCTGTACACTGGCTGGCGACATATCCCCTCCCTTCTGACAGGTACTTGGCCTCCAACGGCGCAACGGAGGTAGGCGCCGTGCTGGCCATGGGGATAGAGTTCGCGCAGTTCATCAATGAGGTGAGCACAGCTCTAGTGCTGTTGTGTGCATAGCTCCCTTGAGCCTCTAATTGCCCTCGCCCAACCAAACTTGGCTACAAATGTGGATAGACGCATGGGTTTACTCCCGGGAAAGCGAACCGCGGAAAAGGTGACAGCATCAGTTCCCCTGCTGTGCTCAAAGTAGGAGCATGTGTTGCGGTGTAAGTTCGAGGAAATTAGAATCGCATCTGGGGAGGTGTTCGGAGGGTTCCCTCACTTGCTTGGCGATATTGATCGCAGCGTGTGGCATGCAGTGGTTCTTGTGTGGAACCCTCGTCTCCTGAGAAAGTGGTGATCCACACGGGTTGGTGACTGAATAAACCAATCACCAGAGGTTGTGGAGTTTCCTTACTTGCTATGGGGCGAGGAATGCCAAGTTGGACAGAACGAGCTCAGTCTAACAAGGTTGAGGGAGGTTGGGCCCAGCCATCGTGGACTCGTCTCTCCCAACCTCGGGAAGACGCGTGATGAACTGTTCACAGCTGTTGAGGATCGTGAGAGGAACGGTTCGCGGAATGGGGATCTCTCCGCACCGATCCCAGAATCCGCCGCTCCTGCTCATCTCTGCCAGTGCGGGATTTCCCTGTCCTGTTCACCAACAGTTTCGTCACTAGTGCTGATCTCAGAGCTGCTGCTGCCCGTTATTTCGGACCACTTGCGATCACGTGCTCTTCGTATTGCGATGTCGCGGCAGGTAAAGCCACGATATGTCGCCATGGCCTTCGACGTGGGACGAGAAACAACCTTCCGAAGAAAGCTGTACCCGCAGTACAAAGCGCAGAGAAAGCCTGTACCGTTCGACTTGACCTTGCAGGTGATAAAAACCGTACGTCTTCTTGTGCGCAGAATGCGCTGCTGGAAGAGCGACGCCAGAATACACACTATTGCAAGGTCCGTGGGGGGCAAATTTGGAAATAATGCTTGTCCATGCACATTCGCAACGCAACTCATACCTGCACGGATTGACTGTTTCACCTATAAAACAATATTTGGGCCTACGCTCTCGCGGTTTTGTCGGAAAAGCTCGAACGTTCCTTCCTTGATGGTGCGAGATACCGTTGACGTTCACGCAGCCACGCCGACGTCCATCAACGACAACACGGCGTGCCTCACCCTTGCCTCACCTCGCCCTCGCAGATTCCGCTCGCGAAGGCGCTTTCGGAGGCCCTGGGGTGCCGCACGTTCGAGATGGAGGGCTACGAGGCGGACGACGTCATGGCCACGCTCGCCAGGCAAGACGCACGGGCGGGGACTTGGCTTGGTTGGTTCGTCACGAGATGGGACGGATGTATTTGTTTGATCGGTTGAGTAGTTGCAAGTGCGGTTCGGTCTCAGCGATCAAGGCTTTGTTTTTTCTTGCTGGGTTTGGAAGGTGTGGATGTTTTGTGTGGTCGGTTGTTTGACTACGCGCACGCGCCGTTGGGCGGTTGCTGTTGCTGCCCCTGCTGCCGCTGCTGCTAAGGCTGCTGCTGCTGCTGCTGCCGTAACTATTGTTATTTTTTTTGCCGGGCGAGAGCCGGAGATTGATCCGAATATGCCTGCACACAACAAGTGTCAAAATGCGCCTCACGTTGCGTTGTTGCATGGCTGCGTTGTTGTTGGGCATCGCACATTCTCCAGGTGGGGGCGCTCAGTGGGACTGGGAGTGGTGGTGTGCTCCTCTGACAAGGACATGTGCCAGCTTGTGAGAGATCGTGTCCACGTCATGCAACCAAGGAGGTGAGGTGCCGAGGCAGGATCTGCTCGTTGGTGGTGATGCTTGAGTCGAGGAGTAAGGTATTCCTGGAACGGTCCAGTGCTGCACTGTCACAGTTGCGCGCGATAGTGCAGTTTTGAGCTGTGGGGAGCAGCAGCAGTACAGAGCGTCCTTCCGCATTTCCAACCCCTTCTTTACCCTGTTGGGGACTGCGCACTGCCTTTGGAAAGCCAATAGCAGCATGCCTCTCCACCGGTATGGGACCCGCAGGCCTATTGAAATGTGTTTTTCTCTCTCATGGTTTTGCCTGTTGTCGCATCCTGCATATGTCTGCCCATTGCGAAGAGTAACCTCTAGCGGAAAGTGGCCGCTACATTTTCCGAAGAATTCATTCACGGGTAGATACGTTATCGACGACTTGCCGACAGTTCCAGGCCCAGGTTTCGAGGACCTACGCTTGATCCCTCACAAACCGCCACTTTCGGCGACAGGGCCTCCTACCGACAGCTCTTTGCCTATCCCAAACCTTTGAACGCAGGCAGGAGTGACGCCGCGTTGTCCGGCAAGAACGTGTATGTTTTGTGTTTCTGTATTTTTCACCGCTCGGCGTGAAATACCGACCCCTTGTTCTCGTTGGCTTGTCAAAACTATCGCTTTTTGCACAACCGGTAACCCCTTAGTCTGTGGTCTTGCCAGGGACGGATACACCATTCTGGGCAGCGAGGAGGTCTTGGCGAAGTTCGGGGTAAAGCCGCCAGCACTCCCTGACCTGTTCGGCCTTGTCGGTGATGTCGCCGACAACATCCCTGGTGCGACGGCGGTAGCCACGGTGTTGGACGTTATTTGGCGCGGGTTGGCGTGATGTTAGCTTATTGGAGAATGCCCCGACGCGAGCGAAAGTGTTGCACGGTTGCTCTCGCAGAAGCAAACACACGTTGGTGATTGGAAATTGCGTCGCTTCCCATGTCGAGCTCTGTCTGATGGGAGTGTCCTGGACGACAGCAGTTGGTTGTTGACATCTTGGGCCAATGTTGAAGTGGATGGAATTTTATAGTCGCGTGACGGGTTGTTGCATACGAATACTGCGGCGTGTTTCTCGATGCGATTTCTCTTCGGACTGCGAAGTTGCGCCGACTTGTTGGAGTTGAAAAATATGAACGATTTGAGTTTTTTCGAAGCTCCCGCATCGGGCCTTCAAACTCCGCAGTGAAAATAACGTAGTAATCGAGACATGTTTCCGACCTGGAGGTTTGAATACACGGTTCAGAGAGCCAATTTGCGTGGTTAGTGGACGAACGCTCAACTCCGTCTGTCATGCTTCGAAGCAAAGGTTGAGTACTTCTACCGTTGTTGCCTTTTTGTTGCCTTTTTGTTGACCCGACGCAGGTGTGAAGGGCATCGGGCAAAAGGGCGGGTCTCGACTGCTGGAAAAGTTCGAGACCCTTGAAGGCGTGTTCGCGGGCTTGGACGGCGTCGGTAGCATGGGGATCCGGGGCTCCAAGGGGTTGCAGGCTTTGCTGAGGTACACCACTGCTTCGTTGCAGATCGGATATGGTATTCTCTTGCAGCGCTGGGTGTCTGGCGTGAGAGCGACGGGGCGAGTTGCAGCAGGCAGCACACACAGCACTCGTCGTGCGATTCCCTTTTCTGGCAGTCCAATTTTTTCCTTTGATAAAGAGTTTCTTAGATGTCTGTCGCTTGTTCACGAGAGAGTGTTTTTTTTGTGTCTCGCTGTGGAAATGTTTCGCCCTCTCAAGAACGCGTTCGGCTTCCCACAGCCTCTTGAACAGCCCTAGCCTAACGTACAACGACTATCAAGAATCCGCACAGGGCGGTCTGCTGTTGTAGGGCTGGACGTTCACTTCGCGACGCTGCGTGGCCCAGATTTATGTTTTACGACGCGCTCTTGGATTGGGACCCTGGACGACTACCAAAATTGCTGTTGCTGGCGGACGCGTCTCTTTATGGAGGATGCCGTGGGTAACGTTTGGTCCCCTTTGCGCACCAGGCTCGATCCTTCGCTCTTACCTATTGCCTCCCATTCCGCCCCCTTGTCCGCTCTCTCCTCGCCTTGTTTTTGCTTGTGGATTTTGCGGGGCCTCTCCGTGGTTGTTGCATCGGTCTTGTTGGTTCCCCAGTCAACCCGGTATCCAAGAAGAGGCGATGTTGTATCGGGAAATCGCCACGCTGGACGATGAGGTGCGACTGGGCTGGTGACGATCTGTATCACATGCATATCTCACCGTTTGTCCAAAGTAACACGAAAATGGTTGAGGTCGGCTGGGTGTATCTGGCACAAGGGGTTGGTCGCGATTGTAAGCGGAATAGTTTTGTTCACTGCCCGGTGCCGCCGTTCCTGCCACGAGCACGACTTGTGATGGTGTTGCACGGCCGTCCGCCTAACGACGCAATGTGTGTTGCCTCACGAAATCGGCTGCTACTTGTGACCATGACAAGCTTGGCCTTTTTCTGATCTCCGCCAGATCACACATGGAACGATCTCACAATATAAAACTGCCGAAAATTCCAGACGTAAGACTTGCCTTGAAGTTTGTGGTCGTGTGCGCTAAAAACTTGAAGACTACGGTTGTTTTGGCATTCCTGCTGAGGATATTAGTTTCACCGTACGCCACTGGCCGCTATTTGGCGTTGACTTAGTTTCTTAGAAAGTAAACATAATCTCACAGAAAGACTACCCGTTCGAGACGTAACCCCAGTGGAAAGGGATGTGCTCAAGTCTCTTGCGTGAGTGGAGGGAAACCGTTGGCTGATTTTTTTTTTGTGCTGACGCAAGTTGTCGACCAGCCACGCATGGAGCGAGAACAAGTGAAAGACCTGCCACACAAACCACACATCGAAACTACTGGTTCGTTTTGGTGTTTCTAGGCCGTGTGAACTACATACACGGGACGAAGCGCCGTCTTTTCGCACACCTGCTACCGTTGTACTTATCATCTTACGCCTGCTTCGATCTGACGTCAACGCCCCCGACCCCGCAGGTACCATTGGAGGGTATCGACGCTATAACGTCGTCGACCCTCCTGTACAGGGGAGCGTCTCCCGAAGCTGAGGGGGTCATGTCGGCCCTGGGGTTCCAAGCGCCGCTAAGAATGATCCAGGAAGGTTCCAAGCGACCCTCCGCGCGGGCTTCGACTGTTTGAGGCTGCCATGTGTGGGCAGCGGTGGGATATAAGCAGGCGAAGCACAACGATGTCGTTTCTTGGGAGACCGCGTGAAATGTACGAGGCTTGCCAGGAGGTGGTTAGTGTCCAAGCAACGCTGTCTTTTTCAGCTCCTTGGGTTGTCAATGTGTTTCGGTAGAGAGGTATGTGCCGCCCAAGCAAGGTCATTGGTTGTTGGCCGGGCGATCCGTGATGCTGAAAGTGTGTTCGTTTCCCTGCCCCCGTCCGCCGGAGAAACACGCCTCGAACCAACATGAAACACAGCTCATTCAAGAAGCCACCTTTACCCTGGTCGTGAAGTGTACCGTTTGATTTTCTGTGGGGAATTGCGCTAGCGTTAGTCACAAACTTGAATAGTGTGGCGTGCATTTGAGCTCGCCCCCCCCCGCAATTCCCCAAACGCTCTCCTGTGAACAGTTTTCTTCAATGTATGCAACTGGCGTTTTTACGTCGGGTCGCACAGGTCTGCCCTCTCGCAGGTGTACCTGCTCACCGTCGAAAGTGTTGTACACATGTCGGCCCGTGGTGTGAGTAGTTCGGTGTGTTTTGGCGGTTTTATAAATTATTTGGATAGGGCTAGCAGGGATGGGTAAGGTGGAAGATAGTTTGTCGGCTTGTGTCTCTGTTCTGACATCACCTTTCACCCTGCTGAGCGATGCCATGGAGGATCTCAGTGTTACTTGGCGAGAATCGGGCCCAGACGAAATGTTAGAATCGTTTCGGTGTGCGTAATGTTTGGCGTTTCCATCACGGCGGGAGATAGTAAATAGCTTTACTGCTGGCGGGAGGTAGTAAGTAGCTTTGCTGTACCAATTGGCGGGAGAACTTGCAATTGCGCACACAGGCGGAAGCGACTAGAAGCTTTTAGTTCAGGTATGAGGCACAGACAACAGGTTGGCTCTGTTGCTTTGTTGTCTGATGGATTTGTGATTTTGTTTCGCCTGCTCCATCAGACATGATGAGAGTGGGAGAGGAGGAGATGGGCTAGAGAATCGAGTGTAACTTTGTGCATCACAACTGGCACTCTGGGTAGTGCTTTGCAGATATTCGGGTGCGGCTGTGCAATGGCTCTACTTGTAGTGCTTCCTGATGCACGGCACTCTATGCTCTTGACGGGTGGTACGTCAACAGCTGGTGGTGTATATCCGAAACCTACAGACTTTTCTAATTTCTGCAGTTCAAAGGCCACAGATACAAGCGATGCATTGCTGTTTCTCTCTGTTGTTGTCTGTTTCTCTCTGTTGTTGTTGTTGTTGTTGTTGTTGCCGTTGCTGCTGTTGTTGTTGTTGGTTTCGATGTTGGTTTCGTTGCTGCCTTCCCAGATTGTTACAGTAGTACAGTCGTCCAACCGACGCTGACGTTAATGAAAAAACTCAAAGAACAGAGAAAGGACCCTGAAAAATCACACACGAGATGAATACATGTGAAAACCACACAGGTGAAAATCACAATGATGTCCCCTAACATTCAGACCTTCGCAGCAGGTGACATGTCGAACAAATGAGGTGTTAACGTAGAGCACATCGCTCGGAGGCCAAGCACCAAAACACAAATTCTTCTTTGCGTGTCCCCTTACCGGCCGCGGGGATTGCCGAACGCATTCATTCGGTCCGGTATCCGGCACCTTTTCTCCTGGTACACGCGTTCTCCCGCCGCTTATAGTCTTCCGATTGCAATATGAACCCCTTCTGCGCTTACCCCCCTCCCACTCGAGGTACCGTGGTTGTCATCGACTGATTGATAAGAAAACATTGACTGGCATGAGAGAGTACACGGGCGGGCGGTACAACATTCGCAAAAACCGATTAACTGCGGACATTCTATTTACCTTCCAAAATTGTGGGCGGCACTTTTTCGCCGCCTGTGTTATTGAAGCTCCAGCACTCCAGCACGAAAGAACCTCCTGCGTCAGGTGGGCGATCAACTATGCATACGATATTTTATGTTCTCTCCCGATCATATGCATATGCGTACGCCGAGGATTCGCACTTCAGGCATTTAGGCATTTTCTTTCTGTAGGAGAAAACGATACCTGGGACCATACTGCTATAGACTGGGTTGATTCAGCAGGAAATCCGTTGCTCTTCTGCCCAAGGCATCCGCCGCCATGGAGGTACATGCAGGCGGCTATTCCGCGAGTTCCGGTGCACCACAAACTTGTTTCTCGTTGTGGACTGCGGTGGGCTGTGCACTCATCTCGGCCCCGGTCGTCAGAACGGTTCAGTGGTGCCATGTTCCATGAGAATTTTCGTAGAAGATGCCAAGCGGAGCCCTTGGGACAAAATGCCGAAGAGGGCCAGAGCTATGGAGAAGGTACCCCTCCCCCCACACCACACGCCCTTCGCCAAGCGGAATTAGATCGTCTTGTTCGCTCCCTGCTTCTCCGTGTTCAACTGCCCCTGCTGCTGCCAACGAAGAACCGGAAAGCGCCCAAGGGCTCCCGCACGTGAACGATGAAGGTCGGTTGAATGTTTCTGTTCTGTTCCGTCATATCCGAGAATCAGCAATCATCTTATCGTTTCAAATAGCTTTTTCCTGAGACCGACACAGTAGAGTGGGGGTTCTAGTGGTGGCTGCACGTAGTAACAGACTGTAGCTGCGGTTGAGCCCGTGATATACGTCTGTCCCCCGTAGCGCGCCCCCACCGTATGACTGATATGCATTTGACAGACCTGTTCAGTATTGTCGCAAAAATAAGCGGAAATCAAGATACTTCAAGCTACTGCTGTAGCCAATGCCACACTAAATTACTGGTCAACAACCAGCGCGCTACAGTCCCAATGACGAAGAGCACCCATGGGAGAGCGCATCGGTCTAACGCCGATGCGAACAAGTACTGCATCCGTTCATTTGCCGAATCAGAGTAAGTGCCCGTTTTTGGCTGTATGAAATGTCTGCGCTGCTTTCTTTCGTGGCGGAGCACCGGAGCACAGACCACATCGAATACTGAAGATATGACACCCTTCAGCGTTCACACGATTTTCGGGCATTCACCTACTCCGTAAGTACCACATGTTGTGCCTTGCCACACCAGCTACCGGTTGGAGCGTATTTTCCCCGTCGTCAACGGCCTCTGGCACAACATGTGGCGAACTGGTCGCCTGAGATCCAACCGCTTTCCCAATGGAAAAATTGATTCCATGACCTACCATGCAGGCGTTCGTCGGCATTGCAGCCCTACTCGCGGCCTCCCCTCCCTGTCTGGGCGCCACCAGCAACGAGGAACACCAACCTACTCATCCTCTCCTGAGCGGGAGCGTGTGCAGGGTCAGAGACTCTCTGGACTTTCTAAGCGTAAGTTTGCGTTTGGTGTTCCAACTGTTGATTCGATATCGTAGGCGTGGTGCATGGAAGCAGGAGCGCTACGGGTTGCGAGATGTCCTCATGGCTTCCTGCTCGTCTTCCGGTAGATCGGAAAACGCGACACGTGCAACAACGACGGCATGTTCGCTCCGTTTGGTGTGCGCTCTCCGTTCGGGTTGTTGGCCCCCACTCCGTATTCAAGAATACCGATTCATTTCATTAACCACGTCTTTCACGACAGAGTGTGTTGTATTGTTGCGGACGAAAAAAATAGGAAGGTTTGTTCGTCGAAGCAGATAGAATAAACTGGTGTTTATTTTGTAACAGTCGAATTAGAATTTGGTTTCATTTTCTACCGGAAACCCAGG